ACAACCTATGCATTAACATCTCTGATAAAAACCTTAAAAAGATGTCGGACACTCAAAAAGCTAGTTGGCAATGCCCCAATTGTCAGAGTAAGCAGCCTAGAGGCGACAACACAAATACGCCCGTCAAGCAGACGGCATCGTTATCGTCATCCGGAACCGCCTCCAGTAACGTTACGACACGTAAAGCAACGAAAGCAGCAGGGGAATCGTCCATCCCACAAGTACTAAGTAGCGGCGCACTTACATCGAGCGCAGAGATACGTGACATCATAAACGAGGCACTGAGGGAATGGGCCACCGGAATTTGTACTCAACTAAATGAAATAAGAAGTGAGGTTGTCAGTCTCAAAGATTCAATGTCATTTTTTAATGAACAATTCGAGCAATTAAATGCCGAGGTTAAAGCCCAAAAAGCAGAGGTTCAACGTCTTAGTGACGAAAACAGTTCACTGCGAAGGGACGTTATTAATCTAACCACTCACTGCAATCAGATGGACCAGATGTCTCGCGCCGTCAATTTAGAGCTCCAGTGCGTTCCTGAGCACAAGAATGAAAATGTGACCAGAATAGTTCAACAGCTAGGTAAAATCGTCAGTTGTCCCATCAATGAAGCCGATATTTCCCACTGCACTAGAGTGGCCAAAAAGAACCCGAAGAGTCCCAGACCACGCACCATTCTGGTCAGATTCACGAGCCCACGACTTAGAGATTCGGTCCTGGCAGCATCGATCAAGTATAATAAATGCAACTCAAACGATAAATTAAATTCGAGCCACCTAGGACTAAGTGACGAATCGAAACCGGCAATTTACGTTGCTGAAAACTTGTCACCAGAAAATAAGGTCTTGCATGCGGCGACCCGAGCTCGCGCCAGGGAACTCGGCTATCAGTTTGTGTGGGTGCGCAGTGGACGTATTTTCGTACGGAAAGATGTCAGCTCGCCATCAAAAGTTATAAGAGACATAAGTTGTTTGAACTCTCTCTAGATTGTTGTTTGTTCGGTGATTGCACGTTTTTTATTATCAAATTAACACTAAAATTCAATTTAAAATTATATTACCAAAATGTAAGGGGCCTTAGAACCAAATGTGAAAATTTATATATTAACGCACTACAAAAATCTTACGACCTAATTGTTTTGACAGAGTCATGGCTCAATGACACCGTTTTTGACCACGAGCTCTTGGATGCTAGATATGATATTTTTAGACGCGATCGGAGTTCTACTTTGTCCTTCCAAACGAAAAAAGAAGGTGGCGGTATTTGTTTAGCTGTACTGAAAAAATATAGGGCGTTGAGAATGAATAGATGGGAGTCAGCGTGTGAGGAATTGTGGGTCTCCATAGACTTAGGTCTTAATAACAAATATAGAATAAATATGTGCGCTGCGTATATTCCCCCACCAGTTTCAAGGGATTACTTAACAACTTTTCTCAACAATCTCACGGATGTCGTCAACAATAAAATATCAAACGGCTCATTTACCCTGTTGGTAGGTGATTTCAACCTTCCTTATATAGTCTGGGAGAGTATAGGCGATCAAAATGTATACATCCCAGAGCCAAATAATGGGACTATCGAAAACATGTTTATAGACGAAATTACGTTCAATAATCTTAAACAATGTAATTATATCTTAAACGATAATAATCGAATTTTGGACTTGGTTCTTGTGGATAATGCTAATAACGTAAAAGTGGCCGAAGCTTCGCTGCCTCTGGTTGGATTGGATCCTCATCATCCTGCCCTCGAAATACTCATTCACAGTCTAGGCAACATAAAACCATGCAGGTCCAAACGTGTAGCATTACCTAATTATTCCAAGTGTGACTTTGACGCCATCAACGAAGAACTCATGCATATAGTGTGGTCTGAAGTGTGGTCTGAACTTTATGACATAGATTCCATGGTTGACAAGTTTTACGGCACAGTTTTACCCATAATTAAGAAGCACACGCCACATCGAATACCACATTCAGAAAAATATCCGGTGTGGTTCAGCACAGCCTTAATAAAATGCTTAAAAGAAAAAGCGAAGTATCATAAGAAATACAAACAGTATGGAAATCCCCTGGACAGATTAACATATGAACTTCTTAGAGACCGTTGCAATACAATGATCAAAAGTTGTTTCTCTAGCTTTAAAAAAAACGCAGCTTCTCATTTACGCTCAAACCCTAAGTTCATCTGGTCTTATGTTAATGGTCTCAAAAGAAACACAAATTCCCTTCCTTCTCAGATGACTCGAGGTGTCAAGACTGCCAGAGGTGGCCATGAGATTTGTGACCTATTCTCAGAGCAATTTCAGTCAATATACGATGACATCGCTTCCAATTTTACATCCAAATCATCCAATATCAATAAAACAGCTCTCCATATTTGCGAGAACAGTCTGACCATCAACTCACTCACTGTCAGCGAATACGAGGTAGAAAGAGCATTGATGGGATTGGATGGGAGCAAGGGTTCAGGATTGGATGGCTTGCCCCCTATCGTTCTAAAGAAATGTGCAAAAACTATGTCAAAACCTCTTACGTATATATTTAACCACTCTCTTCGAAGCGGCATTTTCCCCCTAGTATGGAAAAAGGCGCGCATCATCCCTATCCATAAAAAGGGAGATCTTGCCGATGCATCTAATTACAGGCCGGTTTCCATACTTCCAGCACCCGGGAAGGTTCTAGAGTCATTTGTTCATAAAAAAATATATTGGCACGTTAAAGAGCGCCTGCACCCAGACCAACATGGGTTTCAGCCTAAAAAGTCAACAACATCTAACTTAGTCGGTTTTGTTAATGATATTGCATGTGCACTGGATATGAATAAAGAGGTACACAGTATTTACACCGATTTTAGCAAGGCCTTCGATCTCATTAACCACGACCTGCTTATAAAGAAGATCATGCTAATGGGGGTCCATGGTTCACTGCTGCGCTGGTGCGACTCCTATCTTAGGAATCGGTCACAGTTAGTCTCATCACGTGGTTATTCATCCTCAGCTAGAGAGATCCCTTCAGGCGTACCCCAGGGCTCTCATGTCGGTCCATTGTTCTTTTTAATTTTCATAAACGACCTAGCCAATATAATAGAATGTAATTTTAAAATGTACGCAGACGATCTAAAACTGTACAAAATCATTGACTCTAAACTAGATGTGATCACTCTACAGTACGAGTTGGATAGATTATACGACTGGTGTTGTCAAAACCATATGATCCTCAACACTGGTAAATGTTCTCACCTAAAGTTTACTAGAAGGAAAAATAAAACTGAGGCAACATACAAGCTAAACAATGAGCCATTGGGTGAGATCACGGAAATCTGGGACTTAGGAGTTTTGATTGATAGCACGCTCAGCTTTAGAAGCCATATTGACGCAATAACAAAAAAAGCTTCTAAGTTATCCGGGTTTATATCCAGGCAAATAAATCTTTCAAAGACCCTGATTTAATCATTCCGGTCTATAACTGTTTGGTGAGAAGTATTGTGGAATACGCTAGCCCAGTCTGGAATCCAGGGTACAAGTGTCACTCAAACCGACTGGAAAAGATTCAGAAAAGGTTTATGTACCAGTTATCGCACGCAAATAACCAATGTAGGACACTCATTTCATATGAGAGTAGATTGGCATACTACAAATTAGAATTGCTATCCAAGCGGCGGGAATCATCTGATGTCATGTTTCTCTATAAAATTATCCATGGTCTCATCAACTGTCCGGACATTTTAAATCATTTAGATGTGTCGGTCCCTAGAGCCGGCAGTCGCTTGGGCCGCAAAAAGACTTTTGTTACGCCACACTGTAAAACAGTGGCGGGTCATCACTCGCCATTGTACAGAATGACTAATAGTTATAATAATATTCGTGATTTGTTCGACATATTTCATGGTTCTAAGGCCTCAGCAAGGACTAACATTAGATTAGCCATTAATTAATTAATATTTATTATTTAAGAGTTTTTTCATTTCTTAATTTTTGTTTGTTATCATGTCCACTTGTTGCATGCTGTGTTCACTGTTATTAGAATGAACGTTTGTTTGTTACTTTTTTATGTTACCTGAACCATGTAAACGTTACATTCCATTTGTGAACCAAATAAAAAAAAAAAAAAAAAAAATATTCGTAGATCTACAGACTTCTACAGAGGATCGAAAATTTTTGATTTTGTCAAAGAATGGATGAATTTAGAGTCCAAGGGGGAGGCGTTGGCCGTTAGTTTGGATATTGCGAAGGCCTTCGAACGGGTTTGGCACAAAGCGCTTCTTTCGAAACTCCCTTCCTATGGGCTTGCGGAGAAATTGTGCAATTGGATCACCAGCTTCCTTGCAGATCGGAGCATCAAGGTCGTTGTAGATGGTGCATGCCAAAGAGTATAATAACTGTCCTATACAGGAAGTGCATGCTCCGACTACAAGCTATTGTCTATTATATTTAATATACTATTTGGTACCTACCATCAAGCTGAGGTACTAAGTCTATGGTATTGAGAGATTTAAACGTCTTAGACACGGTTGATCTTGCTGTACGGCCCGCCAATTTAGTGCACAACGCACGACGCAAAACGACAATGAATAGGCGTGACGTAATCAATATAATTATGTACAAGCCTTTTCGTTGACGTTTTGCTTCGTGTGTCATGCATGACCTTGGCGGGATGTACAGCAAGATGCACCGTGTATAAGACATTTTAAACAACATAAAATGAGTACGCTTGCCGCACGTAATTATTGATGTGGGTACGGCAAGCCCCCTCGTTGTCGTTTTGCTTTGTGCGTCGTGCACGATAAAACTGTGTATAAGACGCATTATAAACTCCATATAGTATAAGTACTATAGTATAAGTACTATATCCACAAACTAGTAAGAAGACTATATCTATGGATTTATCTATGGAAGTGTTAGAGCATAGACATTATAGAACAGTCGAGCACAGGCACAGACATAGAGTACATTATTATGTTTTTATTTGCAGTAGCTTGTTTACTTATCTATGATTTGCAGTCGAGGGCGTTGCGAGGTAACTTGTGGTAGTGTCATTTATTTGTTTTCCTGAGTTTTTGTTACGTTGCAGTGTTTTCATAACTTAAATACCGATATTTTTTTCAATAAATAAACATGTGGCCAGGATCTGAAAGACATTCCCGTCCACCTTCAGCTTTGGAAACAACCGAGGTATGATTTTCGCGAAACTTATTTTTTTTACATTTGCAATTACGATATGCCGGTAGGCGCGAATCTACTTTCGTGTTTATTTAAAAGTTTATAATATTTCAATTAACTTAAGTGAATGTTTATAATTTTAAGGTGAGATAGATATTTATATAATAATAATTCTTAACCCCGCGGTTATTACGTAAGAAAAGGAATTATATAAGAATTAGCGGCAAACTTAACTTGAAACAATCGGCCCCTTCGCAATTTTAGATAAAGATTTTTGTGAAGGCAATATTTGTTTTTTATTTAGAAACTGCAAAACTGCTATGAACACAATAATACATAGATATAACTTGAAAATTGTGATCTGATGATGCAATTTGCAAAATGGCGGTTTTTAAATTCAAATGTTTTCAAAGAAAAAAGTGCTGCTTATGTAATTTATTGCTTGGGAGTTTATTAAAATATATATCGCACATTCTGGTAAACGAGTACAATATTATATGATTCCCTAAAAATTTACTACTTTCCTAATAATTACTTACATGTTTAAAGTTTTAACTTGCCTCTAAGATTGGATATTATGTTATATATATATATATATAAAATTTCGTGTCACAAACAACAGAACTGATTTCAATGAAATTTGCACACTGTGCAGTTCGGTCCAACTTGAAAGATAGGATACTTTTTATCCCGATAAGTGACCTTCAATATTTTTATTGCGAATTTAAGGATTTTTTTATAGGAAGGGTCGTCGGAAAGGGCAGAACAATGTCTGCCTGGCCAGCTAATATATATATATATATATATAATGTGTATATAGGAAATTTATGAGGGAGGATTATGTTCAGCTGTAATGAATGTATAATCAAAAATGTAAATTCAGTTTGACAAAGAATTCAATATCAACGCAAAACAATATTTAATTTCCAAATTTAATCAATATCACCACCCAAATGAAATATTTAGCATAATATTACGAAACATGTTATACATAACACACATGCAGGTGCCTGCTATTTTATTCTCTTTTTATTGTACCCAAAAATTATCATTGTAGCATTTACTAATACTAAATTATTAATATTATTATCAATAATAATACTAATAATATTCATCACTCACTTTAAATAAGACAGTTTAGTAATGAAAACTCAAGGCTAATAATTTAATATCCTGTTGTGCTAGGAGTATAGTGATGGGGGGATGATGAGGGGAGAAAGTTAATCGTCCCATTGCAATCTCCACAAATCCACTGCAGAAATTTATAATTTTTGTATGCATTTTTAATGTTTTTATTGAAAAGTTAACTAAAGTCATAGATATTTTAATTATTATTTGAACTTACTGTGCTGAGGTTTAGATATTATTGTAGGTGGAAATAATGTAACACAGAGTTACCTAAAACATTTATAGACCAAAATTGTTAGTGAAACGAAATGTTTTTTTAATATCATAATTTCCACAATATCCATAATATATGCACAAATACTCAAATGCTACTCAATTTTAAGACACTGTTAAGTCTCATGCTATACTGTGACATCACAAGACTTAATGGCGTCTTAAAACCTTAAAGAATGTTAGAAACAAATAGTGTTACCATTTTCACCACTACACCTGACCCCTGTCTATGTCTTTCTGTTATATTTCCTGTGGTTTTTAGTAGGCAATAAATATATTTGTAAGTTTAAATCTTTTATTACCCAAATTAGCTTCAAAATATAAGTTCTCGAAAACTACATGTTTTCGCATAAAAAGCTACTATGGTGTGCATCAGAGCACTAATGTAAATTGATTAAGACCAAACTCCAGATCTAACTTAAGATCCACTCAACCTATTGAAGTAAAACATGGCTACATTCATCTATACAATCTATACAAATAAATAAAATTGAAGTGCCTGTTTGTAATGTCAAAATTACAGCTTTTTACTAAATACATATGGAAGTATGTATGGTACTAATAATAAAAATACTTTTTTTTTTAGTTTTTGTCTGTCTGTCTGTCTGTCTGTTTGTTCTGGCTAATCTCTGAAATGGCTGGACCGATTTTGACGGGATTCTCACGGGCAGATAGCTGATATCACAAGGAGTAACTTAAGCTACTTTTATTTTAGAAAAAGAATTAGGGTTCCGAGCGAAAAAATTAAAACCCCAAATAACACGCGGGCGAAGTCGCGAGAAACAGCTAGTATTATAATAATACTCTTTTGGCAAGTAGTACCATTATCGAAAAATCACTTAATCTCAGTTTTATTATATAATGTATTATTTCGAAAACTATAAGTGATATGGGAAAATCTATATATCTATAATTATACTTATAAATAATATTGAAGTAACTGCCTCTTTTTAACATGTGGAAATGTCTAAGCCTACCTGCCTCACGGAGGCAAGGACGGGTTATGTTGGACTTGCACCTATTAAAACCCCATGGTGTTCCACCTTAGTTGCATTTTGGCAGGGCCTTTCGCACTCATCCGCGGCCCCATCAGCGCCAGCCGCCTTGGGAGAGGACTACTCCTCCCCCATCTCCTTCTCAGGTGAGGTGCACCAGAACACATGGCGCTCCTTCCTCCGCAGCCTCCAACTTCACCTGCACAATGGAAGTTCCCGTGTCCTATGCGCGAAGGCCATGGGGCCCGGAAAATCGAGCACTTAGAAGCACTAGCCTTCCTGAGCCCAACGGTGGATCTGGTCTATGACTCCGCCGCCAACCAAGATTCGGCTGCAGAGGATAGGTAGAGCGGCGTCTCGCAAAACCTTACACTCCTCTCTCCCCGCAACCCCACTACCGTATCAACCGTGCGACTCCGTCAGAGTCGCAGAGGGTAAGGCGAGTGGCGCATTGCCATACCAACACTCCTCTTCCCCCGCGACTCCACCTCGGCTGCAGCGGTAGGCGTAGAGGGCACCCCTCTCGTCGCTGCCCACTAACACACTCTGAGTGGCCACCTCGGGCCGGACTTTCAACTCGGGCTAGCCATGTAGTTTCCTCTATTACCTTCCACTCTCTTGCCGCGGGTGACCAGCCAAAGATTACTAACCGGAAACCCGCATTTAAAAAAAATTGTGTCTGGGCTAAACTTCCGAAAAGCCGATAAAAATAATATATTTATCATTTACAAGTTGTATACAAAAGCATAAGTACATAAGTAAAATAGCATCTATAAAACACAAAGGTTTGTAAATAATGCTATCATCTACATCGATATTTCTAAAGAAAAATAATATATATAATATACCTATATTGTGTTGCAAATAACTTTAAAATCGGGCTAAATTTATAATTTTGATGACAGGTAATAAAATAACTAGATATCTACTTGGTAAGTTCATTTTGTCTACATTCAATTATGTCTTAATATTTACTCGTGTAATGTTATTACGTAAATTATTGGGTAAGTTGTTTATTAATCAGGAAACTAAATAAGTAGTTGTGCATTTGCCGTAGATGTTATTAGCAAGGATAGTATAAAAATGATTTTGTGCAACTGCTCGCGTATATAATACTGGTGCTTAAATTTTGCAGTAAGTTTTTCGTCAAAGAATTCTTCTTTGAGTAAGCTATATTTAAATTTAGTATAAAGGGATAAAATATTACAATATTCAATTAATTTAACGTTGTCACTTTGAAATCTTCCCTTAATGTTTGGAGATAGGTGCTACGTGTTTAAGAATTTTTAGTTGAAGCTTATATATTTTATTGAAATATATTTTATATGTGCAGCCATAGCTACTGAGCCCGTATTGTATCTCCCTATAACTTTGAGGTCACTATGTTTAGCTGCTAGCAGTGCAGTGTTGATTGACTATCAGAATTTATGTACATAATATGGTTGACGCTTTTGGAGATTGATATCCCCACAACATAACATGGCGTAAGTTTCTGCCATAGACACGGAGGCGAATTCCTACCAAGTTGAAATTTCGGTCGTTCCCCGTAAATTCATTCATTTGACCCATTGGTAAACTATAAGTCTGCCGACCACAGATGCTGCCGACACAACAGATGACTTGTCCCTTTATCCAGTTTTCTATGGAGGATAGTTCCAATATACATTTTGTTAAAAGTGTATAGTGGATACTTGAAATCTGAGATCATGCAAAAAGTAAGTGTTTTCTCCATATTAGTTTAATGTTAAATTCCAATAACTTTTGAGCTATTTTTTATAAAAACATTAAAATGTAATTACTTAAAACGCTATTGTGATTAATGTGATTAAAAATTATTGTTTTTTTTTTTTAAATTGGATGTGTGAGATTCGGCTAACGAGTTATTGCGAATGTGATAAAAAATAGGTGGGTAGCACAGTGCGAACGCGGTGTGCTCAGAGTCAGTGTGCTAGTGGGTCGCGTTATGTAAAGCCGCCGCTTACCGCGCTTTGCGTAAGAACCGTAAGCAATACGTTAGCCAGACGATGATTTAACGTGTCCCGTCGCCTGCTACGAGTTACTGAAATTTATACTTTTGACACAGGTGACTATTTAATTTTTCCTGTGCTTATCTTTTCTTAAGATTTACTACGATTTCTTTCCTCATTGGATTTTTTATATTATTACTCATAGCTATTGTGTCAATAATTTGTAATAAAAATATTGTAACACAACTTATTAGATAAAGTCTTCTTCTTCGTCTTCTTATAAGTTACTATAATTTAAGTAATATTTTTTTTGCATCTATTTATTATATTTTCTTAATATTATATACTTATAGCAAATGTGAAGAACAACAAAATTTCCAATTTAAATAATTATTTCTAAGAACAAAATTATTTTAAAGATATCATTGAAATAGCAATTTTAATGATCTTAAAATTAATTTTAATAATTTATGCTAGTTAATAATATTTAAATTGTTTATTTATTATACGAGGTATATAAGAAATATAAAGGCCATTATCCACTAGAGAAAACCAAAGAATAGCTAAAAGCTGTTCATTGGTCTTCAAGTTGATTCAAATTGTCTTTATTTTATTGTTAAATCACTTTTTCGAAATAAACTCAATGACGTTCAAGTTTTCGGTGGTTTTGTAACATTTTTCCTTCAGAGTTTATAAGAAATTTTTTATTCACTGCGGTGATGAAGTTTCCGATTTGATTATTCATGTTTTCTTCTCTGACGATATTCTCTGTTATTTTCTTGTCATTTTACTTATCCCAATTTAAAAGGGCGCATACCCTTCCCGCCCGATTGGTTTCTGTTTCACATATTAAATCTAGTAAATAGGACATCGTGCTCCCGTCAATCAGAATAAATTTAAAAAAATATATCCAAGGAAATATTTTGTTAATTATTTGATACTTTTATCAATAATTCGATACTTTATTTAAGCACATACCAAACCAAACCCGAATTAAATTTTTAGGCGAAGTTATACACACGTGTATTTTTAAATGTATCTATTTCATTTTTCCACCTTTTAAAGTATAAACAATATAATAAACTTGATGAAATGTCACAGTTTGCTCGTTGCTCAATAAAAAAAGTAAATGGCTTTGGATTATATAATCGTTTCGAAAAATATGTTTCGAAAAACTACAATAAACACTGCCCGGTCCGTACATATTCTCATTGGGCTGAACGATCGGCCTACCAATCCACCTAACGGAAAACAGTTTAATAAACTTAATAGAATTACAGGAAGCATTTTCTACGACCTCAAAACTTTTAAGATGTCTTCAAACTTTGAACGATTTTCAAAATTCTTTCATTATTGTAGTAGTATGGTCTTACTTTGCTTCCTTCTTCGGTTTAGGTTTGATTGTTGTATTAAGCTAGTCCCAGGACAAAATACCTATGTATCTATTAACAATCGTAGAACTTCTTTCAGGTATCATATTAACCATTTGAATTTCTCGAGAATTGCTTAGTATGCACCAGGAAGACTTCATTTAGTTTATTCATATAGTACGTTCAAGATAGCATCATGTGTATCTTAAATATTTTCTCCAGTTTTAGCTTTAAATTTAAATTAATAAATTCATGGACTGCCTTCTTCAACAGACTGCAACTGCAAGTGCTGGCACCTGGTTGAGTCGAGTCGAACCAATCTCTGGAACCTCACGATTAGAAATAGTAAGTTATCTGTTTGTTGTTTATACGAACATTGCGAACGAATTACTTTTTAACACCAAGCTGTAAACGCAATTATATATCGTTATAATATATATATATATATATATATATATATATATATATATATATATATATACTTGTTCCATTGACTTCTCGAATTCATTTTAATATTTTCTGTAACTGGAATAATTTATTTAACGCAAGTAAAAGGAATTTTAACTAGTAAAAAACATTAAATTTATGTTTAATGCAGTGTCAAAATTTTCGTAACGTCTTGAAACAGTAAAATAATTTTTTATATCTTCAGTATGTGATCACAGCATCAATTCGAATCAATTGGATCATTAATATTATGAGGATAACGATTTTTTTTAAATAATTCCATATAACTTTTAAATGTCCACTTATGATACACTAAATTTAGACTTCAATGATAATTAATTAATTATAAGCGTTTAGTAAACGGAAGCCTACGCCTCACGTTTTTCTGTTCTGTTCTGTTCAATATTATCTGGCAGTTTATTTTGTTCAGATGAAAATTGTTAGCAACTTAAGAACATAATAGTTATATTAGCACACATTATATTATAGAAATTATGAAAATAGCTAATCTTTGTGTGTAAAGTGACAGGTGCATTTTGATTTAAATACATTAATTTATTGTTCTAAGTTGCCCTATCATCGGGAGGCGACCTCGGTCGTTTCAAGCAGCCTCGATAGTCCTGTTCGTGAGGTAAGGGTTTTTTAAATGATATACAAAATAATAAATTATTAATTTATGACAGCAGGAATAAAAATCGCTTTTTTTAATGCAATGAAATTGTTCCGATATTCCTTAAAATTCTGATTTGTTAGCATTTACTATTTTTATATATTAGTTACTAAGTTAAATTTAAAATTTAATTAATCTTGAAATCAACATTGACTTTTGTGTACTAGATTAGAATTGACTTATTAATTATTGCTCAATTTAAGTAAAGTTGAAAATTGAACAACCAATTCCTTGACACCAATTATTATTGCAGTTTCATTTCTTTACTTCGACGCTCTTCAGATGTGTCGGTGATGTTAAGGTGTAAACTTATGTAAGATGATTTCAAATTGAATAAGGTAATAGAATGATATATTTGTGCGATTACTACATATTAACAAGCTGATATTTGTGGCACTTAACACGTTTAATTTCAACTTGTTTTAAATTTCCTATGATTCTATTATATTCTATACTTATAATAAATTCTAGTTGCCATAGAGAATATGACTGGCTAGAAAATGCCGTTGGCTTGAGATTCCGCAAATAATAAACCCAAGCAAACTACAACGGGACGTTTAAGTTTTTTTTTTTTATATGAATAAGAGTGACAAACGAACACACAGTCCACCTGATGGTAAGTGAATGCTGTGGCCAAGATGCGTTGTAACCGCTGAGGTCTAAGATGGAATGTTTCGCTTCGAGTAAAAAGGGTCTCCAGTTCTCTACACTCACCATACGAAACAGCAACATTGAGCTGCTATTTCACGCTGGTATTCTGTGAGAGAATGGTTCTACCCCGGTCGAGACGACACATTCGTGCTACAACCATAATATAGCTGCAGCGTGGTTCTACCACCTATGTAGTACTCTGTAAGCTCCTTTTGCTGAAGTTTGATCCAAAAACTAAAAACTTCTTAATTGGTTCATTTTGCTACAAAATCACGATCTCTGCAAAACAATAAAGATATTTACGACTTTGCAGAGAAGTTAATCAGTTGAATTTCGTCAATCATAACAAAAAAACATTTTTTGATAAAATTGCAGAAAATTCTACTAGATGTGACTATTGTGAAATAAAACATCTCCTATGACCTTTGCAAAGAGCGTAGGAGGTTCAATTCGTCTGGGAATTAAATAAAGCCAAGATGTATAATTTAATATCCAATATTTGCATTATAGTTACGAGTTTTTAAACTATGCATTACGGCCCTTGTTAACTGCAATTATTTTATAGGCCTAAAAATTGCAATAATATATCAGTCACTCTCATATCTAAAAGTTTTACCTTTTTATTAACATTTCTGAATTTATAATGAACAAGAGGCTGCAGGACAGGTGAATACAACCCCAGCCTCATTTTTAATTTCGCTATCATTAACGGGATGTATTGTCTTGAGTATGTACTATTGAGGTGTCATATTCATTTCATAAGACAATCTAATGGGTCTGAAACTATTAATTATGACCGTAATCAAACCCAACCACTATTATCGGAGAAGCCGCTGACTGCCGGCCGATTGACCAACCCGCCTGTTCAGCTTTGTGAATCTCTTCTCTAGAACTCTTACAAGAAGTGAAAGCCTGCTGGCAAATTTATAAAAAGGTCTATGTAAGGTGTAAACGATGTGGAAGAACTGTGTAGTGTTGCTTCAAGCCATAGGTACCCCTTTACGATGAAACAATTATGTATCTGTTGCGGTAAATGCAAATAATAAACTTGAGATTAGCCGGCTTAACTTGATTTTTTTTTAAATCTATGCTAATGCTCTCTTTACATATATTGTACTAACTTACGTTTTTTCTTTGAGACGTTTTGTACTATGTATCATAAACCCCATCAGGGATGAGACAAACAAGAACAAACATCCAGACCCGGAACAATTATTTGTACCTCACAAAAACACTTATCCATTTCGGGCCCAAACCCGCGGCCTTGCAGCGCTACCAGCACTGTGCTACGGGACCGTCAAAGCCTTTGCCGTTGCCATGCATCGCCTGAAAACAGTTTACTTGCATTTATTACCGTGCCATCGTCTTCGTGTTGTAAATGCCTCGCGTTACCGCGTCGAACGACCCGACCGGTTTGCGTTCACTGGGCCAAGTTCACCGTTTCGTATCGCGTGGCTTGTCCTAAAGAGCTTTGAAGTGGTAATGTTACGTATAACGATATTGCAATTAATTATGTATTGACTAATGTAAGCGCGTTTGATACTTTATATAGTTTTAGAGCTTCATTTTATGAGTACAGTATAGTTAATTTGGATCGGGTACAGTTTTCAAATTTTATTATCTGCAATTAGTAAATCGTTAGTCTGTAAAGTATTATCCTGTACACTCATTTTTAATTTGTCAAGGTGATCGCTCATATATCATCATCGTACTCTAGGTACGTTTTTATTTATATCTGATTTTATTCTCAACCTCATTCAACTAGAGATACGGTTATTGGTATATTGATTGGCGATACTCACCGCCAGCGCCATTTTTTATACTCGTATGTGTGTCGGTATCGTATATTTGTAGGGCGTCGTGTGCCATCGCTCGTTAAATTCAGATATCAGCGACCTGTTAATTGCGAAACATCCGACCAAATATTTTGACAACACATAGGTATCGTACGCGTGGTGACGTCACCTTTATGTAAAATGCCGCATGCTAAACCGTACATTTAACTATTAATTATTCTGTACTAATACAAGCACGATAATGTCCTCCAGACTGAATTTCGGTCACGGCGGCCAGTCTCAACGCGGGGCAGGATTATAGTGCACGAGTGTGTGCTCAAGCACAGGTGCACTCAATTCCCTCATTTTCATAATCCAATCCGATATTCAGCAAATCGTCACAACCGAAGAGAGATCAGGTGCAGTACTAACGGCTTTACACGCTTTCCGAGGCACGGGGGTGAAACACGGTCAACTCTCAGACTACGGCCCACTACTGAGTGTTTCTTGAGAGAAAAATCTGCAACTGATTTTAGTTCCACCCGGGATTCGAATCGGAACGATTCAAAGAGTCAGTCGTGCAAGTATAACACACATTGTATTACCCTCTTCACTATTGTTCTGTATTAAGTCGTTTATTGCGCATCAAGGCTTTCCCTTCGCCTCATTATGCAACAAGTGCCGCATTACAATCATCTCAAAGCTTTGGAAATTGATGTATTAAATTATTTTGTATTAAGTATAGGTACTATATACAGGGCGACAAACTAGCACACAATCCACACCTCATGGTAAGTGGATGCTGTGACCAATAGACATCTTTATCTATATTCAACTAAGAATTAAAATGCTGATGCGTTGTCACCCATGAGGACTAAGATGGAGTTGCTCATTTCCAATAAAAAGGGTATCCAGTTCTCTATACGCTGGTCTTCTGTGAGAGCGTGCTCTTTCTCCGGTGGCGCCGAACTATACATACTACAACCATATTATAGATGCAGCTTGACTTTACCGCGTGTAAAACATATTTAGCTTTTAAACCACAAAGAGAAGGTCGAATTTAGTAGCGCAACTTTACGTAATTGAATTTTTTATGTAATATCTGTAAGAAAGTTGCTACCGTTGTTGCGAAGTGCCGAGTTAATCCAGACTGTACTTGAGAGAAAAGCTTCATAACATTGTAGTCGATTTTTTTTATGTTGAGTATTTGTACAGTATGAGAGTGTGGATGGGATGGTTGGATGATATGTGTAAGAAAGCAGGTAAGTGAAGAGACAACGACTAATAGAGAGGAATGGAAGAAAAAAATATGCTATGCCGACCACAAATAACGTGGTACTCGTATAAAGGAAAGAAAAAGAAGTTTATTACTTTTAGAGTTTTTTCCTATTCCATTTTAAGAACATTAGAAAGAACAATAATTAATAAGTTTAAAATTCAGAAATTAGTCTTAAGTTTTCAGAAATATTTCTTACGTATAATTTATAACTTAAATTAAAAAAGAAAAAGTATTTTTTTTGCACAAAAAGGTTTAAAAATATTAGGTCGGGGAAAATATTTCTTCGTATTTTAGAAATTTTTTTAAAGTTTAATTACATTTAATTATAATTTATATGTGCCATATTGTTTGATAACTTATTGCCATTTTGTAGGTAGTGACATAATCCCGTTGATGTAGAAATCTTAGGATTTCGATCAAAAAAATGCGACAAGTAGTTTTGACAGTACTCTCTTGATGTTAATCTAACACTACCCAAAGAATTCTGAAGATACCGAAACAGGTGAAAATATGAGGTTATTAACACTTCCCAACCAAGCTCTCTCAATTTTTGCTGAGTGGCCAAAGATGTGTGTGGCCTGGCGTTATGACGATAAAAGACTACTACTTTTCTGTTGAACAATTACGGCAGGTTCTTTTTTTCAATTTCTTGCTTGAGTTTCATTAGTTGTTGGCAGTAGAGATGCCCTTCCAATCCCACCATACACACAGCATCAACGTATTGCGCGTTAATCCGGGTTTCGCTACAGTCTGTGTAGCTTGACTACCTTTTGATTGTGATCTTTTTTGTACGTTCTTGTCTTAGGTGATCCACTTTTCATCGCCAGTGATCATCTTTTCAAAAACGATTCGGTTTCATTACATTTCAATCGAGAATCGCAAATGAGTACACGATTCATTAGGTTTATTTCAGTAAGTTCGTGTGGTACCCAAATATCGAGCTTTTTTTGTATAGCCAAATTTTTCAAATGGGTCAAAACTGTTTTGTGGTCAATCCTCAATTCCTCGGCTGTGTCGTAACTACTATAGTGCCACCAACTTATCTGTTCAGTTGACAGCGTCGCTAGTGGAGTGGTTACTATTGCCATTTAAGAAATTCACCGAGGAAATAGGTAACAACATATTCATTACACATAATATAAAATAAAACAAATTTCGTGTTAATATATTAAAATTGAGAATTAGTGTTATTATATATATTATTTTTATTTTATAAAAATAATTGTGGTCGTGATCTCGGAGTTCAAGCGGCCGAATACCAGGAATTTCTGTTTTGAAAAATGTACCCGCGTAGCTACTGGTTCCAATAATTCATCTTCTGGAATCGCTTTCACTATCGCTCTGACACTGTAATAAAGGGTTCATTTAAATACGCGTCTTTTAGTCTGTATTCATTTTCAATTTTTTTACATGATTACAAATGTTATTTGTAAATTTATGAAATAAATCTTCAATTAATTGGGGCATTAGAACATTAGCAACACAAACTACAAAGCTAGGTACTTTAGATGAATTGCAGTAAATTGAGACAATTTTTTTACTATGTTTCATAAGTACATTATTTGGTGATTTTAACTTTCCATATCTGGCAATACTAACCTGTCGCGGCAGCTACGCGTTCTTACAGCTTTTCAAATGGTATAGTTGGGATTCGTACACGTTTCTCTTCTTCATAAATGATAAAAATTTTAGCATAATCTATCGCGCATCACTTTTAAGACCTTTAGGCATTTTATTGACACTTTTTAAAAACGCTCACCTGATAGCTTAGAATAAATAATAGCTGACAGCGAAATGTCATTTACAAAATGGCGGCTTTAGTTCCAATTTTGTCCACCTGAACAGATAAGTTGGTGGCACTATAATATGCCGATCATGCTCCAGTTTTTCAGAACTGGCATCGATTTTATCCGTATGAGGGCGACCAGAGCGAGCTGCATCTTTGATATCAAAATTCCCGGGCTAAAATTGTATTGGATCCAGAAATGTCACAATTTTTTTTTTCGCAGATTGAGTCGCATTTTTTTCTCTTTTTTGTAATAACACTTCAGAAATTATCGAATTTCTTCGTTAGATAAACTCATTTTGGCGGACAGAAAAATAATCAAAAAATGACTGAAAAGTGGTTTTTATTTTTTATTTTTCTTAATATCCTATATGTGTTGATATTAAAACCAGCCAGATACAAACAGACAACAAAACAGTACACGTAAAGATTTTTCTTTAATTTTATACAAACAAAATATGAAGAAACTTCCCCGACCTATTAAATAGCATGAATTGAGCAGAAACACTAATATTTTTTTTGATATGCTTTTAAATAGTTTTGTATTCCGCAAATTTTACACTATTACTTAATTTATCATAAGGATATATGTAGCAAGGTGTCGCTGTTCCTTGTTTTACTATATTGTGAATTTTTGTTCGCAGATCTTGCCATACCGTAATCCAGAAGAAGCCATTGATCCGTATTTCTTTAGAACTGCTTTTATTCCTCCTACGGTTTATATTATTAAACAGTATCGCCCCACTTCTTATTGGAATCGACAAACAAACAGCTGGAGGCCTCAAAATCATCGCCGGCAACGTAGATATCAGCAGTATAATCCTTATTTCAATGGTTGCATTAACCCTAGAAATTTGGTGAATGCTGAGCTAGAGTCCACGGATAATTCATACACAAAAGCATCATCGTCTTATGCGCCAACTGCTCACGACGAGATCAGCTCCGTCGTTTCATTACAAACCTCTGCTAGTTTTAATTGTAACGGTGGTGGTTCTATCAACAAGATATTGCAATATTTTCCCAACTGTCAAAATCTATATAAAAATAGAACACTACATTCAAACATGAGAACTTATCCATTATTTGAAACAGAGGTGAACGACCCGCTCTCTTTACAAATATGGCAGACCTTGGAGACTAAACCACATTTGTTATCTCTAGAGAGGACACCTTTGAGAAAGATGTGTGTGTTGAATGGTTCATCGCCCTCGGCGTATGCTCAAATGGCGGCTAATAGAGTAATCAAACACGCACGTGACCACAAAGTGCTTGCCGCGAAGAAACTCTGGTGTCTCAACTGTGACCGAATCCCGATACAACCCGTGACCAGTCAGTGCGGGCACACCAGATGCACAAAGTAAATATTATTGGTTTATGTAAACAAATACTCGTTGTATATTTCAAATTTAAAACAATCTGCGTTTGTCGACCGCTATCAAGGCCATTCTTAGTGATTTCGAGTAAGACATTTTGAAATAGTTGGATGAATTAAGTATAATCTTTGTTTCCATTTGAATACATCATTTCAACTGCAAAACATACTATATGTAGTGACGCAAGTTTAGTTCTCAATTTTATTACGAGTATATATAATTGATAAGCTTATAATTGATTACAGACACGGGCACTTAGTCATTTAGTCCCTTGCCTATTCCAATATTGCACTGTAACTGTTTTAGTGAGATAACATCGAAGGTATATTAGTATGTGGTGCCGGAAACTTAAGGACAATAATATTTTGTTCACACCCAAAGCCAATATTTGCCTTTTTTCACACAGTGGTGAAACTTTATTTTTACATATGTATATGTATTTTTCCAACTTTTTTATAAATTTGATGTGATTTATTTATAAATTGTTTTCACAGATGCACTATGTACAACGGCGACTGTCCTTGCGGGGGAATCGCGCCCGATAAGTTGAGTGTCAACGTTGTTACCCAGCAGTTGATTGAAAAAATATTCAACGATTGCAACGCGAGCGCAAGGTACGATAACACGATTTATTCAATTTAAAATCATAGTATAACCACTTGAAGCAAATTGTGTTTAGTGCTTTATATAACAGTAAGGTACTTTCGCAGTGAAATAGTAATACATCTATCAAGATAGATAAGAGAGATAGATAGATTATGAACGTTATGAGTAATAAAGCTAGTTTAACGACATAATCCATTATTGATATGTTATTTAATGATAAATATTACTAGTCTAGTAAATAAATAAATAGTAAGTAATATTAAATGGAATCTGTAAATAAGTCTAGTATGGTCTTAAAATTATATTTTTTTAATATCCTTAAGTGCATTACAACTCCGTCACTCACATCACCGACGCAGCAGGCCATTACACAAGTCTTACATGACCTTATAAAAGATAAGGAAAACTAACACGGTTACAATTAATTAAACGTACTTATATAATATATTTGGCTTACATGCAGTTTACTTATGTATGGGATAAAAACCATTCCATATACATAATATTTCATGACTCCAAAGTCTACTTTCTAAAGTTGACTCTCTTCCATCCATTTTGTAATAATTTTTAAGACTGCACTAGCTACAAGCACGTAACTTAAAGTTTACATAAAAACACGTTAGTATACCTATTTTATTTTATTATAAAAATCGCAACAAACTTGTACCTATAAAATTGCCGTTACTTATGGTAAAAATCGATTATTTTTCCAAAAAAGCTAATTAATTAAAATATGACTAAACTACTGACTAACACATTATTGCAATTTTATTGACATTTTGTTGATGCCCATACTATAAAAGTCAGCTGCACGAGAATGTATGATTTTTATTTTTTATTGTTTTTACTTAAAAGGCCTTTTATCCAACAAGGATATGTTAGCCTTATCGTACCAGATGAAATCTATAAAGGTGTTTGTACTGCGTCTTCGGAATTGTAATTTTCACCTTACATAATACTTCAAATGTCTGTTGGAGCAACGTCTGGAGAATTGTATTGCTTATTCATGTCAGCGCCCTGCCCAGGGCATATCTAGTTTTAGCTTTGCCAATTTTGCTGGGCGTTGTCATGAAAAAGCAATGGGGAAGAGCAGTTAACCAGTCTGAGTTGTTGAAGTGCCAATTTTCCCATTATGATGTTGTCAATAGCGGTGACCCGTAACTGTTGTATTAGATAATAAGAAGCTATAATAATTAACACCAACAATAAAACTACCAGACTGTCACCATAAGCTTATTTAGGCTAATCTTTCGTTTCGTGCACTGTTTGGCTTCGATATTTTAAAGAAATAATAAGTTTTGACAGAATATTTTTAACGGACACTGAGCAAAACACTATTACGAACGTTTGCGATTGTTGTTTTGATACCATTTCTCATCGCAGGCAACAATTCGAATCAAAATTCCCTCCTTTCTACGCCGAATCGGCAATATGATGCAAGCTTTAACGCGGACTTCTTGCTTTGTGAGTGGCGGATTATCTTTGAGTGAGGCGTACTAGGCGTGAACCTAGAGGCTCATGATTAAAAAGGGGCGCGCACAGAATATTTAAACGGAAAAAAATACGTCTATTTGATTACCCCTACATCGCCCTCACTCTCATTACAGTTTTCATTCACGCCCACCTGTTATGGCTACTTGTGTCCTAATTATTTTGCAACTATTAAACTATGTTATAGATTATATATATGTAGTTTAATAGTTGCATATATAGTTTATTTGCAAAATGAGTAGTTATAATTTATAATATACTAGCTGTTCTCCGCGACTTCGCCCGCGTGTAATTTAGGGTTTGAATTATGTTGCGCGGAACCCAAATCCTTTTTCTAAAATATAAGTAGCCTAAGTTACTCCTTATAACATCAGCTATCTGCCAGTGAATGTTCCGTCGAAATCGGTCCAGCCGTTTCGAAGATAAGCCGGAACAAACAGACAGACAGACAGAGAAAAATTTTTTCATATGCATTTAGTAAAAAGCTGGTATTTTGATATTACAAACAGACACTTCAATTTTATTTATTTGTATAAATGTATAAGATGGCCGCTAGAGGGACGCCCATGAGGTGTTACCTTACGCCATTGTGGACATTTAATCTGCCTCCATTTCCTCCGCCGAGTATCGCAAATTGCTATCTTCAGTTCGTGAGGTACCCATTTGTCAAGTTTTGTCTATTTTATAGACAATGTATGTATACTCGATTTCTTAGATATGCTAATTTTCTCATGGTGTTTCCTTGAACTAGCTCAGTGATGCCTGCGGACATCAAAGACGCGTACTCTTTACATTTCATATATATATATATATATATATATATAAGTTGGGTTATTTCGAGTAAAGTAGCCACGCTGCAGTTTTATTTCTTTATTTATTTATTTCCAACTATACAATTATCATCACAGGTTTATCACCTAATGCGATAATGTAGACAACTATTTTTTACAAACTACAATTACAATTACACAACTATTACCTAGTCAGGTCATAAATTCTGTCACATGTTTAATATAAAATAATTGAAATAAGTTTATTCATTATGTAACCATTTATATACCAAAATGAACTTAACAAAACATAGATTCTTATGACACTAAAGTTTATTCAAAATGACCTCCGTGATTTTGAATACAGACCTTCAATCTGCGCGGCCAGTCGTCTATCGCAGCACGAACGAGGTCCATGTCAATATCGGCGACTGCCTTAATCAAGGATGTCTTGAGTGACTCCAAATTGGGATGAGGCTTTGAGCACGCCTTTTCCTCCAAGTGTTGCCATATCTTGTAATCTAACGGATTCAAATCTGGACTGGAGGAGGGCCAGTCTTCGTGCCGGATGAAGTCGATTTCACGCGCCGCCAGCCAGTCTTGTGTGCTCTTCGCTCTATGAGCTGGCGCCGAATCTTGTTGGAATACCCAGTGCCTGTTATTGAACATGGTATGAGAAACAGGTTCCACAAGGTTCGTCAGGACTGTATTTTGATACACAACTGCATTCGTTTTTACACCTTTCTCACAAAAATGTACCTGTGTTAAGCCCCAATAAGAAATTCCCAACCATACCATGAGCGAGGATGGAAAATGACCTCGTTGGACACGCGGAATACGGTTGCTCGCTTCTTCACTACTGTGTGCGTACACCTTATCATTTTGTTTGTTGTAGCTCTCTTCTACGGTAAAAATTTTTCATGCGAAAAAAGAATTTCCCGATATTTTTTTCCCGCGTACCGTTTTCAACAAAGCGCGGCATCTCTTCAGTCTCAGGTCCATTAGACGAGCATTCAAACGATGTCCTGTTTTTCTTCGATATGCCCGAAGCCCTAAGTCTTCATTTAACACCCTTTTCACCGTGGTTCTGCTTAACCCCATCTGAAGGGCCAACAGTTTCTGCTTACGTTTGGGATTTCTTTGAATTCGCGCCTTCACAGGTTTTATCACTGCTGGAGTCCTAAGAGACCGTTGGCGACCACTTCTTGACCTGTCATCTACACTAGAGTCTTCATTGTATCGTTTGATGGTACGATAAACGAATCTTTTGGTTATATTCAAATTTTTCAGTATGTCAAAAATTTGAATTGGCGCGTAACCGCAACGATGCAACGCAATAACTGCAACACGGTCTTCTTTAAGCGTCCACTCCATATTTAAAATGAGTAAAATTCTAAAAAGTATACAGCTTTATTTTCATGAACAATTCGAAATTCGAATTCAATAAACTTTTTTGTGGCCAGCATTCTAAAAGAAAAGTTTTTACTGTGTGACAATACTTATGACCTGACTAGGTATATTGATCATAATATGTACTTATTTCTATTACAAACACCATATCTATGTCACAGAAGAACCATAACTTATTTCAAAGAGAGCTCTCGCTATGAACCCATCCAGAGTACAACAAAATAGATCAATGTCATCTGCTATACGCTTGATGATATGGAGTGCGCGCGTAATCGGCGCCTCATTCACCAACTTAGTGCGGCCGCGCGGCACACCCAGCAGCCGCGGCCGCCGCCGCCGCCGCCGCCACACGTATCTGTCCGGAACACACATGCACACTTGTTGCAATACGTCCGGATTGTGAATTTTTCCCCTCATCACCTTAAAGATATATATTTTATGACCGCAACACGAATGGGTCACCGACCGACTACCGAGGAAGGATCACACTCGCGTACAATATCAGCGTCAAATAGCAGTATAACGCTGCCGTGTTTCGTATGGTGAGTAATAAGCACAAGAGAGCCCTTTTACGAAAAGGGTCTTAGTCCTCAGGAGTGACAATGCATCTGCATTTCGATTCTCAATCCAGCATACATGTATTGTGTATGTGTCACGTCATCCACTTGCCATCATATTGAGTGTGAGCTGGTTATTTATTGTCTTGTCTTCACCCTATCTTGTATTTAAAAAAGTAACCGTTAAATTATTATTTGCAACAGGGATATGAGATCAGCGCTTGGCAGAGGATCCCTGGACTGCGGAGTATTCCCGGCAGTGCGATCAAGTAAAGTAGCAGGTATTTATTTGACATAATATTTTAAATTTTAGCTTTTATATTTGTAACATTCTTTCATTTCATACTGTAATTTTTATAATCGTGTTCCTGAATTTAACTTTACATTATCCTATTGCTTGCGAATGCTCGCGAAATCATAAGTTTAGTTAATTTGTGCAGTTATATTTAACATTCTGTTTTTATTTATTTAAAATATTAGTTGTCCATGAGAATCTAATCACTAAAGTATCGCCATAGCTTTGCGAATCTGATCATTATCTCATTTCTTAAGATTTAAGTGTGTAATGCTGGATGCTGTATTCTATTAACAGAAGTATATCATTGAACATGATATCTAACATCTACCGCGTTTATTTTTGAATCAGCCATTGCCGTCATTTTTTCTACCCTCTTCACTTTTATACCCTTGTTTTAATGTTGGAGTACCTGTAACAATTTATACTATTAGTCCAGTTTGGCAATGTATCACTAGTTACCATAATCTTTAGTCGTATTGTATAAAGTCCTTAAACAGATGAAAATTTGCGATATACACCAGGATACATTTACATGCGCATCTTTACACACGCATACGCACATTTACATAAACTCACAAAATCAAACATACTCTTATTTCATCACCATACACTAAATCCCAAATAAGCTAATTGCGTACAAGTTAATATGTTTTTATGTTTATGTGAAATGATTCTATCTTCAAAATACATAATATAAAATATACTTATGTAGGTACATACAAGTTCGATTCTTATGTAAGTAATACTAGCGGTTATTGTTGACGGCTCCGTCGCGCAGTGGCTTAGCAATGAATTACAGGTTGCAGCGCTAAGTACCTACCGCGGGTTTGAATCCCACACCGAACAAGTATCTGTGTAGTCTACAAATAATTTTTCCGGTCTGGATGTATGTCCTTGTGAATTTTATGTATCTAAACTGCCCCCACAATATGGGAGAAAATCTTAATGTGGAGGTACCTTGTAAACAAATCTAATTTAGATTTAAGATAAAATTTACTTTATCAATGTTTAGTATTCTTTTTTCTTAAAAATTTTAATGGCACTGTTAACTATCGGTTCTTCGTAAAATATCATCATAATTGATTAAGCCATTTCGAAGATTGGCTTAAGACAGTCAGACATACATTTTGGAAATGGTTATTTAAGTCTTAATATCAAAAGAAGCCAATTATTTCAATATTGCACAGGCACTCTTCAATTATATATATAATGTGTGTGTGTTTGAAATTGGGCCAGATTAGGAGTACTCTTAACCGACGAGCGTGTATGCGTAGATATATGGATGTAAAGGAGGCGAGAGGTGTGTCAGAATCGCGCCAAATGGAAGTCAGTAGTCTCTGCCTACCCCTCTGGGTGAGAGGCGTGAGTGTTTTGTGTTTATTGTGTTGTATATACATAGAGTACGATATTGCACCTTCAAAGTAGTGTCCATTAAGTTGACTGATGGAGAACGCGTTAAAGATTTAAGTCCGCCTTTGTACATTTTTGTGCAACAAAGTTTAAATAAATAAATTATCAAAGCTAACTATTTTAATAAAGCATGTATACTTTCTTCATTAAGCTTTGTTTTCCTTCTATGTTCTTATGCAATCGTTCGGGTAAAACAAAGGTATAAAACGTTGTTTGGCTCATAATAATTGAAGAAAATTAAATCGTAGGGTTGTGTTTTGTTACGTAAACTACCTATACAGATATAGATTTGTGCCAGTGAAATAAAATCCTTTTACGCTATCTTATTAACATTAGATATAAAAAGTTACAAAAACCATGAATGCGCTAATGCTTAAATACTTTTTACTTTAAGTATTTATGAAATTAAACAATGACTATGCTAATGAAAAAATTCTTCCAAAGAAGCCCCTAAATATAAACTTGTTACTGAAAATTATCTCTTGCTTGATTCGTTATATTTTACTACGCGCATCTTAGCGAATTAATTTTTAACATTAACATCATTATAATGGATTTCCGCAAAGTAACGCCTGATTCTTTTGTCACCAAAGACGGCAATAAACGGTACGCACGGGGTTTACGATACCATTCAAGCATTCATTGCGTTAGTTATTATTACAAATCTATTATATGTACCTATATACAAAGTCAAGGAGCGAGAGTTTAAGATATATATAGTCGTTTAAGTTTCATGAAATCGAAGCTACGACCAACAGCAACGCAACTCAAGGGTAGTGTGAAAATGGCGAATTACGATCAAATTATTATTTGCTACGAATACTGTATTATTACAGTAAAGAAGTATTATGAGGACACGGCGTCGTCGCGTGGGCGTCTCGATAATCGCGAGCCGACAAGGCTATTATGTAAATCGACCATTTGTTTGTTACATTGCCGTTATTACATAAGTACATTGTCGGCGCGGCGGTGCAATGGAGAGCGCGGGTCGCAGGTTGCTTTAGGTAAGCTGTGCTGTGGCTGTGCTACGCTCGTATGTAGGGCAAAGTGATTTCTTCGAGTTTCCTTTCAAAGACAAATGAGGCTGTATGTTCCAGTTCATCGTAGTAAAATATTAAATTTTCTTAAACTCTTAACATGGAAGGAAAATATCGAACCGTACATATAAATAAATTACTATCCTATATATTAAAATCGTATATTTATTTGAAAATCGTAATAATATAACAGTTATATATAATTAAACTTAATTTAAATAAAGTTACTAGAGAAGAGAAAATTTAATTTACTCACATTTGTGTAGTAAATTATAAACAGAAATGTGTAACGTAACAGAACAACAGACGGTTGCTTAGGTCGTTGTCAACGGTGACGACAGCGAACTTGAAAGATATACTATTGTGAAGCCAAACATGCGACACAAGACACAAGAAATAAGCGTTTTAAATATTTTTATGATCTTTTAATTAATAATTATTATTTAATAAAAATGTACATAACAATTTACATATTATAAGGTATATCTACAATATTGAGAAACTGATTACATGCCAATTCACTCCTTTCAGCACATAGTGTGATAGTCTTTTTCATTCCATTTTGGATTCAAATTTTGTTGCCATCTTTTAATCAGTTCCTGCTGTGCGCAGTACGCACCTCCAAAACCTGTATCTCATTCGTATAATCATTACTTTTATGTACAAAATTAGTTTGAGAACAGCATTAATTTCGACATAACGAGAAATTTAAATTTTTCCAGTTACAACTTGACGTCAGTCAGTCAATCCCGGTGAGATGATATGTTTTATTAGATCGATTATGTTATTTATAAATATTAATCTATAATATTTGGAAATGAATTTAAAAATATACAATATTTTATTGTATACATTATTAAAAATTAATATAGTTGAAAAACTAAAACGAATAACTTAATTATCATACAGTCCTGCGCCCCGTGATATCGTGCCACGAGCGCTGGCTGCGTTTCCTCGCGGAATGGCTATACATACATAGTCTTTGAGCGAGAAAAGAACCAAACCACTTATCCCCAGCAGCAACGAACAGTCACAGATAGAGCTCCTTCAGGAACTTCAATGCACGTGGACCCCACGGACCGATAGTCTCAACAGCAAATGGCACAAATATGTAGTCATTTCTCAGAGACTAATATTTGTGTCACTTACTCAGTTCAACTGCCTCTGATGCCTGAGGCCGGCAAAGTGTCTACGCAAGTAGCATCCCAAACTAGGGCTTTACCTCTCTCCCAAGGGACCAATGTCATACATTCGGGTCTTCTGCCATCGTCTCTATTTCGCAATACTCTAAAACCGAGGAAACATGAAGACAAGAGTTCTTAGGATGACATCGTTCAAAGAACCGTGCCGTGAAAACCTAACAGCACTTTTTTTGCAACTTCAAAATAATTTCGACAATGTCACTGCGTCTTCTTTTTTACAACTTTACTGCAGAGTACACTGACATGATAATTATATGCACTCATTAAATAAATAGCAGAAGCTGCAATAACTTCTACGTTGTCCATATCGTTCCAATTCTCAATGAAAACTAATTACAGCCAGTAAATTAAATAAAATAAAATTAAGTTAATTTCTCCGAACCTAAACTATGGGCGGTTCATTGAGTCCAGAGCCAAAGCAGCCGCAAGGAAACTTGGTGTCCTTGCAAGTGTGCGGCGGTACTTCACACCGGGGCAGCTTCTTACCTTATATAAAGCGCAAGTCCGGTCGTGCATAATACTGCTGTCACATATGGGCTGGTGCTGCAAAATGCCACCTGGCAGCATTGGCCTCAGTGGAGAGACGTGCTAAGAGGCTCATTGGTGACCTTGATTTGGTTGAAACCAATCTTGTCAGCCTCGAGCACAGGCGCAGAATAGCCAGTCTCTCGGTATTCTGTAGGATGCATTTCGGTGAGTGTGCGCAGGAATTTACACGCCTTAATTCTTCCCTCTCCTTTTCACCATCGGACAACCAGACGGTCGGCGGGTCTTCATCCCTTTGTTGTCGATATTCCACGCATTAGAACCAAACGGTTTGCTTCGTCTTTTGTAATGCGTACAGCAAAGGAGTGGAATAATTTGCCGGCGTCTATCTTTCCGTCCGAATACAATCTAGGCGTTTTCAAGGCAAGAGTGAATAGGCTTTTGTTAAGATAAGTGCGATTTACCGTCTAAGGCTGCATCACTACTTATAACCAGGTGGGATTGTGGTCAAGCACTGGCTTATAATAAGTTAAAAAAAAGCCAACATGTGGATACCTCCATTGGCAGTTGGCATTGGTCTCTTTCGAACTTTACCAACGTGTAGACTGTAGCACTCGCTTTGTATCAATTTGCCTACGCTCGCGTTGGCTCAAGCTTGACCAACATGTATTGCCGGAGTTAGACGATTTTGTCTTTTCGGACAACATCCAATGCGATGACTGAATGTATGTTCTTAGACTGTGGACTTAGTCAAAATGCAATTTATTTTCATTTGCAATTTTTGGAGTTTCCTCCTTAAGTTTTAAGTTAAAAACGAGTTCACAAACTAATCAAGGCAGTATTAGTCAACTACTTGTATTTAATATATTTGTACGTAATAAAAAGATTGCAAAAAGTAACCTAAAAGTCAAAGAGTCAAAAAGAGCATCTATAGCAATACCTTATTGTATATACTACGTTAAATTAGAGTATTATAATATATATTATTAGCGATCCACCCCGTCTTCGGACCGGTGATTTCTATATCTTGACAAGAGCGTCACCATACACATACACACACGTAAATCTAAATCAACCAAAAAAAACCCTCTCAAACACACACGAAAAATTAATTAAACCGGTCGAGCCATTTTCTAGTATTGGCGAGGTTAACGCATATACTATATAGATTGAAGATTAATCAAAATATGAAATTTTTCTACAACTTGAAGTATGGTTGTTTATAATTGTGTACTGGCGTTGAGAAATTTCATACACTTAAAACTCTTTAGCGCCCTCTGTTCCCTGTTTCGTTAACTAAAATAGGTTAAAAATTAAAATAATATGTACTGTCATAAAGAAAATTGATTAACGATGGATGATTCTAATTTAAAAATAAAATTGAATAGTGCCTGCTGTCTCCTAAGTCGAAGGGATGTTTGTAAACACATGATGATAATGATAAATAAATAAAATAGTTATCTAACAGCTGATAACTTGCGCCCTGACGCATTACGTAACGCCACACAAACTGTGTTTATTGCCACTTACGTAATACTGGGTATTAAATATCGTTGAACGAAATGTCGCAAGTACAACACGTACACCCTTACAAATTACATTAAAAGATCAATTTAATTAAACTATGTCAATTTTTGATGGTGAAGTCTTCTTTAGAAAATCAATAATACCAATTATTTTGTAAATCTAATTACTGTTTTTCTGAGAATTTACATTTAATATGATCACATGATGATTCAATCTGTACTATTATATTCATATGAACTTAGAACGTGAATAGGTACAATACGCGTCATTAGTTATGCAACCAATTTATTATATCAATAGTCGGTCCTGTCCTGGTTACTGTTATGTGATGATATCGTAAGAGTATCACCCCATATCGTCATTGTAGTAAAGCTTATAAGCATGGGCAAATTTATCTCTCTAGTGATTTTATAGTGAACTCCACTTTCACCTTCACATTTTTATTAAAAAGGTTACACACCATAGACTAAGTATAAATTTATCAATGCGATAAAATTGTATAATTTAACATAACATAATATGCTTTCAGTGCTCTGTTTTCTGTCTTAATCTCTTCATACACTAGCGAAATGCTGAATACGTAGGAATGGATGACTCTTCCTCCGACGTGTCAATATTATTTAGAGACAATATGCAGATCATTAAAAAATCATAAATATAAATAATTTAAAATGCCTAATGTTGTAAGCTCTACTTTAATTTTATATAATAGGCCGGGGAAAACATTTCTTCGCATTTTGTTTGTATGAAATTGAAGAAAAATCTCTTTGGTTGTACTGTTTGTATCTGGCTGGTTTTAATATCAATACATGTAGGACATTAAGAAAAAGAAAAATAAAAAAGTTTCAGCCGTTTTTCAATTGTTTTTCTGTCCGCCAAACTGAGTGAATCTAACCAAAGAGAATATAATCACTACGTTTAAGAGGCGGGACTTCCATAGTAAAAATAATTGCATGAAATTACGCCAAGTTACTCTACCAACATCAAGATATGACATTTAGTTTTGAGAAACAGTGCTGACAACATTGACGAATTACAATAGTGCTGTAAATGTCTATCCTCGAATAATTTTATGGATATAACCTTTATCGATATATTGTTTATCGATATTTTTACATAAGAAAAGTTAGATCTCTATACTGAATTATTTATGAGAAATAAACGTGTGGATTGAGTAAAAATGCCGATGAGGATAAGAAATCAATGTATTTTACACACAGCAATTTGTATTTATATATCTACAATTAGGTACAAAAGTATGTATAAAGAAAATATAAAATAAAAAACGCACTTTTATACTAGTAATTAATTAAGTAAAAAATAAATTGCTTTTATGTGTAACAAATACTATGTACAAATCGCTAGGTTTCTTCACTGAGGCACCTATGTATATACTATTCGCAGAGATCGTTTACTAATTGTCGCTTTCAAAATAAGTGCTCATTATAGCTAATGTTTATTGATGAATAAAATAATGATTTAGTTATATAATTTAATTCTTGCCAAAATGTGATTTTAGAGGGATATTATCTTTTGTTACATGTAAATGAAATCTAATTAACATACACATAAATTGTGGAAGTTTAAAGTAAGTCCACTAAAGAAATAACAGTTCGTTTTAGTTCGGTTCATATGCAATGTTTGTCACAAATATGTCTTAACATGTGAATCTTTTCAATTGGTGCATGTGCCAGCTATTTCACCCATTGCTTGCATCTGAAAAAATAATATAAATAAAATCACATTATTATTGAACAAATAGAATGTTAGCAGTCAGAATTGACTTGTAGTTTCTAAGTATAGTTCGTTTCGGATTGCTAAACCATCGACCTATCAGATTTAGGAAATAGTGTGTTTGTTTTTGTGCACACAATCGTACACTATAAAAACATGTCCTACATAGATGGCTAGTCCAAAAATATACTCGCGTCTAATATCATATTACTATTAAAGTTGAAATCACCACATACCTTTCATCATCTAAGGGAAATATTGTTACGAATAGCCTTTTCTTGTTATCATTTTTTCCGCTTCTTGCACCATTGAATTGGAAAGTTTTATAATGCATATTTAATTTCTTAACAATTCTGTAAATGAACAACGGCTCCTATAGCAAAATTAAAAGCAATCTTAATTAATAAAATATATACAAATATAATTGTTTGATTTGACATTTGAACCTATTTCATTTGACAATGTCGTTAATAGACATATCACGAAAAGCATAAAGAAGAGTAACCGTCATTAAAATTTGACTGCTGTAGTATATATAATTTTTACTATGGAAGTTGCACCAGCCTGAATCTAACTACGAGCACTTAACCATATTAAGTGCTCGTAGGAATCTAACGAAAAAATGCGTTCTGAAATTTTATTACAAAAAAACGTAAAATGCGACCCAAATCGCGAAAAAAATTTGTAACGTTTATGGACCCAATGCAGTGACAGTAAGAGTAGCACAAAGTTGGTTCAAGCGTTTGCAGTCCGCAATGCAGATGCAGCACACTCTGGTCGTCCTCAAACGGATAAACTCGATGCCATTTTTGTAAAAGTGGAGTAAGATCGCGGCACATATTAATAGACATAGCCGAGGAATTGACGATTGGACCACAAAACAGTTTTGACCCATTTGAAAAAGTGTGGTTATACAAAAAAGCTCGATATTTGGGTACCACACGCGCTTACTGAAAGAAACCTAATGAATCGTGTACTCGTTTGCGATTCTCTATTGAAACTTAATGAAACCTAACCATTTTTTAAAAGATTGATCACTGGTGATGAAAAGTGGATCATCTAAGACAAGAACGTGCGAAAAAGATCATGGTCAAAGGGTAGTCAAGCTCCACAGACTGTAGCGAAACCCGGATTAACGCACATTAAGTTGATGCTGTGTGTGGTGGGATTGGCATAGTTTATTATGAGCTTTTACTGCCGGGCAAAACCATCGATTCCGATCTCCACTGCCAATAATTAATGAAACTCAAGCAAGAAATTGAGAAAGAACGCCCGCAATTGATCAACAGAAAGATAACGCCAGACCACACAACATCTTTGGCCACTCAGCAAACATTGAGAGACCTTGGTTGGGAAGTGTTAATTAATGCATCCACCATATAGTCCTGACATTGCACCCTCAGATTTTCACCTGTTTCGATCTCTTCAGAATTCTTTGGGTAGTGGTGGTAGTGTTGAGGTTAACATCAAGAGAGGACTGTTGCATTTTTTCGGGATTATGTCACTACCTACAAAATGGCACATATAAATTGTAATTAAATGCAATTAAACTTTGAAAAAAAATGTCCTGAAGTTGTATATAAAAAATAATACGTAGAAGCTTTTTCCCCGACCTTATATTATTTTTATATCTTGTCCATCTAGCTATTCTTAAATTACTTGTACACATATTTTTCCAAATACTCAAACGCTAATCAATTTTAAGATGTCATTAAGTCTCGAGGTGTCACAGTCACTTTGACTTAGTGTTAAAAACAGCACGAGAATTAACGGCATATTAAAATTGAGCAGAGTTTGAGTATTTGGACAATTAGCGAATAAAGCAGTTAACACTCGAGTGTGGTTTTACAGCTACAAAAACACGAAACAATTTGGTGGCGTATTCACGGATGCAACGCCGGCCGCAATCAGCCACCTTCCCAATGTCGGCCAAGAAGGCGCGATTCGCTGTGTCTGCTCGCACGCCTATGACGCCACAGGTAAATAATTGTACTACGCAAAAGTATTAGTAATATCACAAAAAGAATATCGCTACAAAGGAATACCAATCACGTACAATTATAATTATAATTCTTCAATTTTAAGGGTTATCAAGGTATTACACGTGCACCAACTATTGCGTGGCATAATGGTTTTAGTGTATTATAGACCGTCATAAGTCGTGGGTACTAGGCTGGATGTTTGTGTAAAAACAATTACTTTGTTTTTACATATGATTGTTTTGTTATTGTCCCCGTGTGGTTCATTGGTTACATGTGGTACATGTGGTTCAATCATTCTAGCATACTTAAATCAATGTGTTACGTCTGTCGCCGGTATATTAACGTAAGCGCGCAATCTTGTGATTTTTAATATCACATGTGTTTCTATCTTCTGGGCATATTCAAAAGTACTTAATCAATGTAGTCGAGTGCAATAAGAAATACTCCTTGTCATCATCATTCTCATCACAACATCATCATTATTTGGTTTGTACTAGGACTGTATAAAATCACTTTTGAATATGTTCTTTTCTATGTTTATCATACTATACTCTGTGACTTAGAGAATGAGAGTAAGTTGGTTACCAATTGTATTAAATGAGTACGCTTCGTTTCAATCTGGTTTTTGGAGTCATTGTAACCTCCATTATCCTTTACTTCGCTCTTAACATTCTCAGTTGGTCAGTACATTGGCTCGCTTGTGAATTCCAGTCATAACTTTGTTCGTTATTATGTATTACACTTATTTTCAAATCAGAACAATATATTTTCAAAACAGAAATTATAATTTATTATTTTTTTAAATTCATACCACTTTTAGTACTTGACAACAATTTAATATCGTTTCAAACTCGCAACAACTTTTCAGTTAGAGTTGCATGGATCTTACAGCATGCTTTTAAATCGTACAATCAGATCCAATTTCTCTATATTATGTGTGCAAGCATATCCAAGTTTTTCTAAATGTCTTCTTAAATTTACAGGTTCGATTTAAATATGCACGTTCCTTAATCGAGAATGGGCAATTAAAAGAAGCGGCGACACATCTTGCAAGAGTTGCAGCTTCACCAGATCATTTGAGTAAAATAGCGCGGGTGTTACTTGCTCAGGTGGGTTCATACCGTAGTATATAAATTTCTTTAGTTTTTTAGGGTTCCGTACCTCAAAAGGAAAAACGGAACCCTTATAAGATCACTTTGTTGTCCGTCTGTCTGTCTGTCAAGACTCTTTTTCTCAGGAACGCGTGGAGGTATCAAGCTGAAATTCATATCAAATACTCAAGTCTACTGTCCCTTAGAGCTGTGAAAAAATCAAACTTCTAAGCCAACGCAATCAAAAGATACAACCGTTTATGCCGTAAATTTTCGACATTCGCAAGGGAATCAAAACCTACAGGGTGCTTCCCGTGAACTCAGAATCTTGAAATTTGGTACGAAGCAACGTTTTATAGCACAGATAAAGGAAAAATTGCGAAAATCATAAATTTTTTGTTACATCATATAATAAAAACATTTTTAATAATTTTAACTTATATACCTACAGATTTGTTCGGAACCCTCAGTGCGCGAGTCCGACTCGCACTTTGCCGGTTTTTTTTATTTAGAAGTAGAACTCTATTGTAAATTGTGTTTAATATGGATATATAATAGTTGTTTTCTTTTGGTTTCTTTAAATATATCCCAAGATAAAATATTAACAACTCAATGTATGTACACGATATTTTCTATAAATATTAAAGAGCCCCGCCACCCAAAAGGAGATGACATCTGGGGTGACAGGGACTTAGCTTGTCGCAAAACAATCGTTGTGTTATTATACTCGTTCTGTTTACTTAACGAGTATTTATTTATTCCGTTAGCTTTTAGAACGGCTTTTAAAAAAAAGTGGCCAAGTCCGAGTCGGACTCGCCCATGAAGGGTTCCGTAGCAGCAAGTAACATAATATAAAAGTTCGTGTAGTTCGTTGTAACGTTAGTCGATGTTATTTTACGTTTCTAATTTGAAAGCTGTGTTATCAAAAAGATTTACTGGCGGACGTCCAGGAACAGATCTAGCTATAGATGGAAAAGGCAAAAAATCGTTGCTCAAAATCATACAGCATATATCATAAGTGATAAGTTTTGTCTCTTTCGCACCCACCTACATTGCTTGTGCATTTGACCTATCTTCAGATAAATGTGATATTAGAAATGAGAAAGTCAGTATGCATGTTATTTTTATATAAAAAATATTTTTGAATCGCTTGAATTTGCGTGGTCTTGACTGTACGGTTATACGGTTTGTTTTTTATTGCTAATATAGTAGATTTTGTTTTGTGCAGCAATAATAATATTTGTAGTAAGATAAGAAGAGAATACAATTGCATATATGTAATGTTATTTTATTTGAATCTAACTTAAGTATTGATTGTTACTTAATTAACTCTTCACCAGCCAGTCCTAAGCCTGAATAAAGCGTGAAGGAGATTTCATTGCAATATAAATCTTCTCTAAAATCTCGATAACAGTAATCTTAACGAAACGGGAACACCAACCAAACTAATCAAGCTTTCTCGTGAAACGGCCATAGTTTCATTTGCCACGTTTTAAACACGTCGTTGAAACACTATTGAAGCCTCTATTAAAATAGAGTGTTTCAAAACCCTCTATCAAAATAGTGTTTCAAAAGCAGCTGTTGATATTCGATAGGTAGTTTCGTTTCGTTACTCAAAAAAGCCGCTACTACCCACCGCTAGCTCCTACCACTTAGTTCATACATAAACATCAAAAATTATTAATATAAATTCGCTGAATAAAACTTCGCTTAAAAAATTATATGCGTGTTACGATGTGCATATAAATTAAATTTTAATAACTAAAACAAAACTACGACAGGAAACGTGTACTAAGAAGGCATTAAACAATACTACGATTAAATGAAATATTATGAATCATTGGCCGTAAAATATTTTTTTATTTTATAATTTATTTCATTTGAAGGTTTCACTTCTATTTTTTTTTTAGAATAAGGGTGACAAACGACCACGCAGTCACAGTGATAGTATGTGGATGCTACGGCCCATAGACATTTACATCTACCCTCGGTTAAGTTTAAAAATTCAGATGCGTTGTCACTCTTGAGGACTAATATGGAATGCCATTTAAAAAGTGTGTCCGATTCTCTACACTCACTACAAGAAATACAGCAGCATATAGCTTCTATTTCACGCTGATGTTCTATGAGAGTCGACCTTTTCGTGCTACAACCATAATATACCTGCAGCATGGCTCTACCGTCTATAGTTTGCTGTACCAAGTTGTACGAGCGCATAATTCTTAAGAGGATCCGAACTTATGCGGTCGTTAATAAGCTACACCCTGGAGGTTCGACAAGATCTGGTACGAAGACTTGCTTTACAAGCTGCATTAAACTTAATGTGTCCGATAAGCGGATGTCATCAAAGCTTCCTTCACACCGCTCTTTTCGCTATTGAATAGTGGGAATTCGCTCTACGAAGCGCTTCTTAAAGGCCGGGTTTTTCAAGGACCGTCCTCTACCCACTCCTATTTTTTTATAGGACAAGGGTGACATACGGGCACACAGTCCACCTGATGGTAAGTGGTTGCTGTGGCCCATAGACATCTACATCTATCTTCGATTACGAATCAAAATGCAGATGCGTTGTCACTCGTGAGGACTAAGATGGAATGCCTCGTTTCCAGTAAAAAGGGGTCTCCGGTTCTCTACACTCACCATACGAAACACAGCAGCATTAAGCTGCTATTTTACGCTGGTATTCTGTGAGAGCGTGGTCCTTCCCCGGTCGAGCCGACCCATTCGTGATACAACTATACCGGTAATATAGCTGCAGCATGGCTCTACCATGTACAAAATTATATATTTTAATTAATTATTATATATATTTACACTACAGTCTACACAAGTGATATCCCGAAGGAACAATTGCCAAACACTGCTCTCTTTCCCAATTATACGGCACTCTATGTCTTCGAATACAGTAAGAGAGATAGATTTTTCTCTAGCTGGCGCGCGCGTGTGTGTGTGTGTGTGTGTCCGCGTGATGATAGGGTGTGTATTAGTGTGAGCGCATTTGTGTGATTGTGTGTACGTTAGTGCATGCGGGTGTGTGATTTGCGCTTATACGCGCGCGTTTGTGTGTTTGTGTGATGATCGTGTACGCGTTAGCACGTGTGCGCGTGGGTGTGTGCGTGTGCATGAGTGCGTACATGTGAGCTCGATTTGTATTTTGTAATAAGACAAATTTTACCTACTTTTATTTATTTTGATTGTAAAAGAGAAAGATCGTAATATAAATGTTTTTCATTTCAGTAATCCCGTCAAAATCAGTCCAGCCGTTTCGGAGATTAGCTGGAACAAACGGACGGACAGACAGACAGACAGACAAAAACTTTAAAAATTGTATTTTTGTTATTAATACCGTATATACTTTCATATGAATTTAATAAAAAGCTGTAATTTTGACATTATAAACAGACACTTTAATTTTATTTATTTGTATAGATTTATCCACACCGTGGATGAGATAATTATATATATTTGCATCCCCCTCTCCAGTAATCTGTATCTAAAATTTAGATAATATATTTTGATGCTTGCTGAAGAGATTAAGCTAGTATATTTTAATATATTCTATTAAAATTATATGTTATTAATATTAAAATACACAACACAATGCAGAAGCATTAAGACGAGGATTTCCTACGTTAAAAAGATTTGAGCACTCCTACGCTGCATGCATATTTGTCCAGCACGAAGTAAGCTTTCGATATTATGTGGATAAGAATTTACTTTATATTTTTAACTTCCCCCTATGAAAATTAATAATTTTTAAAAGTAGGAAGTTATAGATTTCGGTTCGATTTTGAGAATGCAAGTTTTCATCAGATCTCGACGTTTTGAGGTCCTAGGAAGCCGTTCCGATTATTCCCGGCTGGACGCCAGGCCGCGCGCGCGCTCGCCCGTGTGTGTGTGTGCGTGCGTGTGCGGGCGCGTGTATAATGTAAATAAAATTTTGTGGTACGATATCTTTAGAACGAATCAACCGATCGAAATGGGCGACACGGCGCGGCGTTCGAAAGTGTTCATAGACACTTCGAGCTGATTAGATTTACAAGTCAATTAGTATTGCAAAAAAAGAACAGTGAATCAAGCCGAAACGTTTTTGCTTATTATCAGCAATAAAGGATCTAAATAAAAACGTAGTCGGTGAAGAATCTAATTCAATAACATGCGTTTCATGCTATCGAAAAATATTATATGACTTATCTGTTCCCCACGACTTCACCCGCGTGTTGGGGTTTTTATGTTTTTACGCGGAACCCTAATTCTTTTTCTAAAATAAAAATAGCCTAAGTTACTCCTTATGAAATCAGCTATATACCAGTGAAAGTCCCGTGAAAATCGGTTCAGCCGTTTCGGAGATTAGCCGGAACAAACAGACAGACAGACATAAAGACAGACAAAAATTTTAAAAATTGAATTTTAGTTATAAGTACCGTATTTACTTTCATATGCATTTAGTAAAAAACTGTAATTTTGACATTACAAACAGACACTTCAATTTTATTTATTTGTATAGAGTATAGATATCGCTTTGAGAACTCGACAGTCAAAGGTTTTTCACGGCGATTAAATTACTTTTTTATAAGGTTTTTAAAACTCCATTCGATTATGAATTTTAATGAGTATTTCATATTTTTTTGCATATTTTTTCCGAGTATAAACTATTTCAAAAAGTATCTTTAAAATAATTGAGTCTAAAATACGATACTTATGTCCAACTTATCCTTAATAAGTAAATTTATTCTTGTTTCAGACTATAGACGCATTGTCAGAGGCCAGGGACCCACGTCGTCTCATACGCGAACTCAATCGCCTGATTCGTGCACAGAGTGCCTCATCGTGGCTTCGACCATCAGACCTCGAATGTCCGCTGTGCTACAACGTGTACACGAAACCTGTGACCACACCATGCGGCCATACATACTGTCGCACTTGCCTAGAACGGCTGCTTGATTATGGAAAATGTTGCGCTCTTTGTATAAGCAAATTGGACGAGTTTGATTTATTATCGGTATGTTTATTTGAAACAGAATCCGCGATTTTTTATATTTAATAACAATATACCACGAACTCTAGGGATGGTAGGAATGATTTGAAGATAATTATTATGATAAAAACATGGGTTTTAAGTAGAAATTTCATTGGCAGGTCGCCTCATCTGTATGTTTGGTAGTCTTTTAATTATAATTTTTTTATCTCTACTAAATTATATATATTTTACAAAAAAAAAAATTAAATTTCTTTGAATGATGTCATCCGAAGGGCTCTTGTCTCTATAAATGTTCCCTCGGTTTTAGAGCCTTGTGGAATATTTAGAGACGATGGCAGGAGTCCCGACAGTATGGGAGAGAGGTAAAGCCCTAGTGTGTGATTTTTCCTGCAGCAGCAACGCTCTGGGTACCAGCTAGTACGATGTAATATTATAGTAGTGTATACAGGGTTATTTTGCAATAACCGGCCAAATTTGCAGAGAAGGTTCACAATAAGCAATATAGGCAAATGGTAAAGAAAAATTAATTAAAAAAATCTCAAACATTCTGTTCTTTTTATCATTTAAATTCAAAATGCGTGGTAATGCATTATTTTAACTGATTTTACTGCGCACCTACACATTCGTAAGGGTCGACCGGTAGGCAAAAACGTTTGTTGCCCATAAATCACATTCAATTTGGGATGATTTCAGATAAAAGTAGAAGCCCTATTTGCTCATATTCTCAAAAACGCATTAACGGTATATCATCTATATAAATTAATGAAATTGAAGTGTCTGTTTGTAATGTCAAAATAACAGCTTTTTACTAAACTTGCATATGAAAATATATACAGTACTAATAGAAAAAAAAAACCATTTTAACATTTTTGTCTGTCTGTCTATCTGTTTGTTTCGGCTAATCTCCGAAATGGCTGGACCTATTTTGACAGGACTTTAACTGGCAGATAGCTGATGTTATAAGGAGTAACTTATGCTACTTTTATTTTAGAAAAAGGATTAGGGTTGCTCGCATAATAATTAAAACCCATGAAATCTAATCGTAATAAAATCAACACGGGCGAAGTCGCGGGGAACGGCTAGTTATTTAAACAAATTTTAAACAAAATGCAAATATATAATTTGCATTTTGTTTAAAATTTGTCACTCTGAAAAATAATCCCGTATATAATACCCCTGTATATAATTTACTACTACTTGCTACTTGTTTCCCTCAATAACTATTTCTTACAGACGGCAGACACAATATTTATTTCGGCCGCACTCGAAGCCATCGATGCCAGATGCCCGCCTCCACCGCTGGAACCCGACGTTATTCCAATACTTGTGTGCACAGTCGCTTTCCCATCGTGAGTGATTAAAAAATGTTATGTTTCATTTGCTTTATCATATAATATTCTAACTTTCTTGTAATCAAATTTTGAAACGAAAAAACGTGTGTGTACTTATGTACGCACGTAGGAAGTTATACTTATTTAGCGTAACCTAAACAAAAATAACTAAAACAACTACCTTAAATATAGTAATCAGTTCCCACGAAAACTTGAGAGACAATTAAGGTACCATTCCGTAGCCGACCCCATACAGAAGAAACAGCAGGCGACGTGTCGTCGCGACGACACGATTTACCACTTTTATTTAACTCCTTTCCTATATTTTTTAAAAAATTCTTTTTGTCACACTGTTTAAATAATTATTGTGAGATGCATCGTAGAGTGCGGGATATTGGACTACCTGGTTTATCAGTTTCTCTTCCACGGAATCGGTGAAACTCATTTTTCGAGAAAAATTCAACGTGTCGCTCGGCTGTTGGCGGCACTAGTGATCTGCGGTCGGGCGACATGTCGTCTGCCGCTCCGGCAAACGACATGTCGCTAGCTACGGAAGGTATTTCATAGAACTACATAGAAACCAGTAGTGTCGCCACGACACGTCGCCTGCTGCTGCTGTCTGCGGTCGGTTACGGAATGGTACCTTTACCCACTGAAGTCGTCGCTTTGAGATGTGTGGATTTTAATGTGCTTTATATTTTTTATGGAGGGCATTTTTATTAGTTACTTTAGTATTGGTAACTTGGGTTTGTTCAATGAAAACATGAAAATGTTTCCTCGTTCTGTTTACTTAATGTGAGCCAGTGCGCATTACCATCTAGGGCTATACCTACATCACCACTTTACTGTTAGTCAAGTAATGGCTTATAACTTGTAAAAAAGTATTATGTTAAAGTTATGTAAGCAAATGTTTGATTAAACTTGTTCTTTTGCCCATAGAATCCCTTGCCCGTTGTTCATGTTCGACCCCAGATACTGGATAATGGTTCGTCGGATATTGGATTCGGGGTCGCGAAAATTTGGCATGCTGGCCCACGAGAAATATCGCAACGACGCCGATTATTATGGCACCGTAAGTCTCTTAATACACCGCTTGCTTATGCGAACATATCGTAATAATAGTTAGCAAGTAGTCCAACTATTACATGCACACTATTACATGTATCATGTACTCGTATATATATTGAGCAATGTAATCAATATTCTTATATATGTATGTTGTGCAATATTTAAAATGTGTGTATTATGCTCAAGTTCGATTTAAAACATCTTTTGATACACTATTTATTGCCTTTCATTGCACATGTAAGTTACTAGACAAGGCACAATAAAGAAACAAGTTGAAGGCTACCAATGCGTTCTCATCTCTGAAGCCCAAAGGTGCATTTCTCACAGCCTGTAATTAATTATAACTCAACTCTTTGTAACCTTTAGACAAGAACATAGCAGTGCAAGGCATTGCCACTTGGCGGCAGAAATAGGTAGAAAGCTGGTACCTACCCAAACGGCTTCTAACCAAATGTTTATTTCGTAGGCTTGCATGTTTCCTCCAGATTTTTTCTTTTACTGGTGAGCACTTGGTATCCCGTGCGGGCATTGCATCGCGGATAGAACCCCGGTTAAGTGATAAACTAATACCGGATTTACATTGCGAAACTAGTGGCATGAAAATAGTTACACGACGTTAATTTCATTAACAGTTTCACGTGTAAACCTCTGATTTCATTATGTATGCATTAGTTTCACGACATTAAAACTTTCGTGTTCTACGCAATTTTGTGATGAAACTAATGTTACGCCACTAATTTCATAGTGTATGCGACGCGAAACTAGTGTCTCGAATGGTATAATATCTATGGTCTCGAAAGTGACTGCACTGAGTGGACGTGTGGGTTTTTGTTGCTGTGCGGGTTCAAACCGATAATAATATACACTTTATTAATGAATACCGAAATGAGTATCTCTGGGATCTTGCAGTGTGCGTAGGAATACAATGAGTTTAAAGACACTAATATTTTAATGTAACTAGTTTCACAGGTAGTGAAACAAGTTGCGTGAAATTAGTTTCATGCTACTAGTTTTGTAATGTTAATTCGACTTAACAATCCACCAGAAGTGACAATTGCAGCCCGTAGATGCATGCAACCAACTTCAAAAGCCGGCTATGTATGAAATATCTGCCTGTACGTAGCCTGTAAATCTATGGCTTTTCCTTTTAACTGATACACAACTTCGGATATACTGCTTATGGCCAAATACTCATACACTATTCAATTTTAAGATGTCGTTACGTCTCGTGGTGTCACGGTCACTTAGACTTGAGTGATATAGTCATAAATTAGTAAAAATCCAGATTAAATTTATATAAGGCTCAATAGGAGCCCTAAATCCTAGGAAGTTTACCATGAAATTACTATAAAATACTGATTACTAAGTATCAGTGTCGAAGTAGTTTCTGCTTAATAATAAATGTGTTTTAATTATAGATTGTTTCAGTTTTGTTAATTTCTCGCCAACAGGTGTTAGAAGTATGCGATTGCGTCCTACTGGAGGACGGAAGCTTTATACTGTCGACAGTAGGCGTGTCACGATTCAAAGTTATAGAGAAAGACGTTTGGGATGGGTATGTAATTTTATTAATATTATTCTAATTAACTTGCCAGATTCCATGTAATGTCCTTTCGACTTTTTTATTTTCAATATTATAGAACGTTTTTTAATAATCTTTTTTGCTTTTAAATTTCATTACTTGACGTGGACTCATCCTATTGGCATATATTCCCTTGGCTCACAGAATCTCGCTGCTTCCCATTGCCAGTGTTGATATCTTTCACCTGGAATATACGCAGTAATTGTACTGTACCATCAAAGGCGATAGACCAAGAGGTATTTTAAAAATTTCCCATAGTCGAGGACATGGAGGGATAGTTCCCTCTCTTATGCATTTTTTTGTTAAAATATGCTGGACCTTAGTACAGCATTGAGCCTTAAATTTAAATAAACTTTTAGAGAGAACACTTTCAGCTATGATCGACTTTTTAAGGCAAAGTATAGTCATTTACTATTAAAAGCCGGAAAGCAATAACATTGTTCTATCTTCAGTAATTCAGTAATTCTTCTTTGGAAACGTCATAAAAGTATATTTTCCCACAGTAAAAGTTGTTTACCAGTGATGTAAAGCATCCATGGTGTTAATCGAGGACACAACATTTATTTAAAACTATGCACCAAATTTCATTAGATGTTTGCATCATTCAATAATAAATACTTAAATATATCCAAATATTTGTCTAAATATTGTGTAAAAAAATACCGAAATTCGTTATATTATCCATCACATCCAAAAGTCCACTGCTGAACATGGGTCTCTCACACAGATTGCCTCAGGGAATTTTACCATAGTTGCCACTCTTAGCAGGCGGGTTAGCAACCGCAGTTTTTTATTACTTTGAGTTGTTAGCAAATAGTTGTTGCTGCCATTCTACCGGTTTGTTTCCCTCTGTCGCCTCTTACGTCACCCAGTAGACATATCGGGTAGTGGATATTCTTACACCGTCACTATACTGTTATATTATCACTATATCTAATACCTAAAAATTAATGATTGTTGGTTTGTATTTTATGCGTTGCTATACCGTGCATCAGATTGCGCTAAAACTTGTCAATATATTGCTTGCACTTGCGAGAAGACAATTATTTTGATCAATGATTTAGATTAATTTGATCGTGAATGTATTATTATTTTGAAGTTGATGCGACCAAACTTGAAATTTTCACAAAAACTGACAACAAATTTACGAAATGTCATTAGGATCCGAACATTAATCTTTTTATCATATTCTTGTAACGCCCACACGTGGATTGGCTGTCATTATGTGACATGAGACCCTTTTTACTGGCAGTCTATAGTCCTCAAGTATGATTATGCATGAGAATTTTTATTCTTAATCGATGATTAGATGTAGCTGCCACAGCATCCACTTGTGAATTGCTGGACTGTGTGTGCTCGTTTGTCTCCCTTACTTCCATTACAAGCATTTAAAATTTGGAATGGTATTTAAGAAGTTTTCGTTCACCATAGAGTACATGGTAAATCAGCACTTAAAATTGTACTAACAATTTCATTGGTGCCGGTGGGATTTGAGTCGCGGGTTACTCGCTTACTGTGATATTTATAGCAAGCGCTTAGCCCTTAAGCTACTACGGCTTGTAAATTTAGTAAGTTCTCTTTTAATATATCCTGTATGAACTGACTGACTACACAGCTGATCCTACATTAATTTCAATCTATGTTTATAAAAAGATAATGTATAAATCAATGGTTGCAACAATTTATACATTATAGTTCTTATTTGACGCACGGCACAAGTATTTTGTATTACGACACGGATATGTATGTAATTAATTGAAAAATTTCTTCGATCTTTACAGTTGTGACGTCGCGCGAATTGAACCGTTGGTCGACAAAGTTCCGTCAGAAGAATTGGCCATTTGGAAGATTCGCAATATGGCGTGGATAACTTCTTACAAAGCTCAAGTATGGTTGAACACTGTGAATGAAGCCGTTCGTGAGTCAATAGAGGCCGCCTTCGGAGAGCTACCAAACCACTTCAACACCGACGAAAGTTGGTTACAGTCACCCGACGGGCCGGCCTGGCTTTGGTGGTTTATCGCGATTCTGCCTCTCAAACCGGAAATAAAGGTATAATTGAATTGGTAATGTTATAAAGTACAACTTGGCCAAAACAATTAGGCACATGACTGGAATGTGATTTCGGAGTCCGCAACCCGCGTCTATCCCCGCGCTTCCCCTAGTGATCAATGACCGTTCCGGTATTCCTAGTTCTAATGACGTCTTAACTGTCATTCGCCTAATTGTTTTGGTCGTGTAGTAATTGTATACATTCTAAACAGAATAATGTTGTTCTCCCCGTGCAATGGCCTACTTAAGCGTATTAACGTATTGGATGGACTGGATATTTTATACTAAGCATGCAATGTGTAGTGTACTTGGCTACCACAAAGCTGGTTTGAAGCCGTGCCTATGCATGTCTCTTTAACTCCGACTTTGCACACTGGTCTACCTCCAATTTCATCGCATGTATATAGAATTATATGGTTATACAACATTCTGGGTAAAACTTAAAGAATGGAAGTTTGTACTAAAAGTGCTTAACCTGAGTAATTTTAAGAATCAAGTTCTGAAGTTTTATTTTAAAAGTAAAAAATATTATCAGTGGCATTACAATTTTTAAATGATTAATAATAATAATAGTTGTTATTTATCAAATAATAAGTTCGAGAAAACATAACACACAGAGTCAATGCTCACCCTTCCTCTGCTTAAAGGAAGTTGACCTTAGCAACCTCTCCGGCATTCGTATCACTTAGTAGTAAGTGGGTAAAATGCTGATGGCAGCCTTCCGCTGGCGTTGGAAGTTATTTCATATAAAGATTCCCATAAGATATCTTGGATGTAGTAATAGGTAATGGGAGAAAATTAAATCTATACATATAAATAAAATTATAGTGCCTCTCTGATATTGGGTTTATTCAGAGGGTTATTTTCATGCCATTAAGATATGAATAACAATTTTCAAAAAAAATTGTCTGTCTGGGTTACTCTTCGGAATGGCTGAACCGATTGTTATGAAACTTTACAAACAGATAGAGAGCAATGTCTTGATAGTCGTCTGCCCGTGAATTTACCCAAGTCCATATATTTATTTCTTTAAATTTCGTCTAAGAGCCTCCTTTGCCTTATGGTTATAAAACAAACAATTTTTATTTATAAAACAAACCGTTCTTATGGCTTCCTATTAGACAAAACAAAGATAGTTTCAATGTCAGTCGCCATAACCCTTAGCAAGATTCCATACAACATAATATGAAATAATTTAAAGCATATGCTGCAGAACTAAGTCTGCTTGTAGATATGGGGGTCCCAATTGATGTTTCGCGTCTTGAGTTGATTCCCAATAAAAAATCAAGGTTTCTGACAACTGCACTTTAGCATGTCAAAACTTTTTAATAATTAATAAGAGGATGAGGAATATGTTTAACAGTGGACCTGTGATATAACAATGATGAGTAAGAACTTGCAGTCGGCCCTCTTTAGAATTAGTAAATCATTTATGGGGCACTTTTACAACAAAATCCCAGAAAAAGAAAAATTGTACAAAATTATTGTAAAGTAATATGTTTAAAAACATCCCGCTGGGTTTCTTGCTGGTTCTTTCCAGGACTAAGAGTTATTTTCCGAACCAGTGGTAAATAAAAAATGACTTTCAATAAGTATCATATAATAATCTATATCGAATAAAGATAATTCTATTCTATTTGTATTTATTAACAATTTACTTGTTTCCAGGTATTGATTTTATCAACTAAATGCTTACTGAAGCGTCTAATGGCTGTTTCACGTACACTTGAAGTCATGGAACATATGACTAAGAACAACACAACTAGATGGAGCTGTGAGTGAAAGAAGGGCTACATGTAGGTGAAAACATTTTATTATCTTGTTATATGTAGTTTCAACTATTTTAAAACTATCAGAAAGAAAGAATAGAATTATGTGTATACCAATAATTTGCAAATATTTGCTCATGCCATATTTTAATGTTATCAAGCAAGGGTGACGAAGTAAACTGTTTCACTACGAGGGCGGCACGGAAAATTTCGGGAATCAAGGAAGTGACACAACATTACTATTTAAAAATGTATTTATTGCTTTTCGAAGTATTCTCCGCGAAATTTGACACATTTTTCCATACGATGGTACCAATCATTGAAGCAACCATTCCATTCGGAAGTTGGGGTCTCCAAATTGGCTGTTTTGTAGGCGTTTTTGTTGGCATTAACTCATTTTCGAACACCCAAACTCGTGACTGGTTCTTTGTTTCGCGTTCGTACGCGTATATCCAGGATCCACCTGATACGATGTTGTATACAGCATTTGAGGATCCTGCGTGGAATCTTTCGAGAGTTCTGACGCACCAAGTAACGCGAGCCGCTTTTTGCTCTTCACAGAGCGAATGCAGTATCCATCGGGAAAACAACTTTTTTACACCTAATTGTTCATGCAAGATTATTTGTATTTGACTCATGCCAATGTCTAAAGTTGCCTGAATTTCGCGGTATGTCACATGTCGATCTTCCTCAATCAGCTTACGCACAGCATCAACGTTTTCTTGGGTGACTGCAGTTTTTGGACGACCTTGACGGGGATCATCACTGAGCTTGACACGTCCACGTTGAAATTCAGCAAACCAGCGATAAATTGTGGTTTTGAATGGGGCTTCATCACCAAATGCAGAAATCATCCGGTCAACACACTGTTTTTGTGTTAAACCACTCCGAAAGTCATAATAAATCATCGCTCTTGAATTTTCTCGAGTCAATTCCATTTTCTCAACGACTAAACAAGTTTGACAAAACCTTGTGACAAGACCGAGAATCTTTTTTTAAATAAATAAATGGTATTCGACTTTAAAAAACCAAGGACTTTTCAATTAAAAAGATTTTAATATGACAGGAACAGTGGAAATATTCCATTCCCGATACTTTTAGTGCAGCCTATGTACCCCTTTTGACAATAAAGAAGGCTAGTGTATACAGAAAAATTACGCAAAATCAAGTATAAAATTTGTTTAATCCGTTTTAATCCGTTCTTTTGAATACGAATTTATTTCCATATGGTACTTTTAATGCCCGTTTATCACTTTAATGTTGAATCTTTAGTATTTAATGTTGAAAGTCTAGTTTTTACAAGTACGTATGTTACGACGAAATATTTACGCTTTCTTGTTGCTTCTCCTCCTCTGTAAGTCAAACGTCGACAGAGAGATCAAATAACGCATTCAACTCTGCTGGACAACGTCCGTAAAATTAGCGACGTATTTTCTTCACACCAATGCGCGTCCAGGAGATAACATGGATCAGAGACATGGTCCTCCGCAGCTGACTCTGTGGGTTATGTTCGGAGTATCTCTGCGTGATAGAATTCGAAATGAGGATATCCGCAGTAGAACTAGATTTATTTTTATATAAAATAGGAATATCACATTAGAATTTTTAACAAAATAACGTAATTCTATAAACTATTACATAGAATGCACTAGTTAGTCTATGATACCTCCAACAAAATGGGAGAACAGATTAGATCTTTGATGTTCTCAAACAGATTAAAAGATGCTACATAATAATATATTATAATATATTAAGATGTTATGTAATATATTATTAAGAGTGTCATGCTGGAGGTTTATGAATGCATGTGGCTCAGGACCGTGTTATGAGGCATTCCTTGGAGAAGGTCTATGTTTAGCAGTGGACTAGTGAAGGGATGTAATAATGATGATGAAATGTAATATTAAAAAGAAAACAAATGTTTAATATATTATTATGGCGACAACATAATATATAACAGTTAAGTCTTAGTTTATTTGACGCACACACAGGGTATTATAATAGAACATTACAACAAGTTAAATAATAGATAGTAGAAAATAAGAAATAAGACTATTGTGAATTAAGAATATATATATTTAGTAATAAGTGACACTAATAGTACAAAAAGTAAAATAACAAGTCAATTACCATTAGGGCTTTTGTAAGGGTTACCACAAGTATTTAAAGAATGTTTATTTTTAAATGCAATTTGACTATTATTCTCCAAATTATTATTATAAGGTACAATATGTTGCATTAGTTTGCTGTACAATTTTTCTGCAAAATTAATTGAAACAATATAATATTGTAAAGACTATTCTCCCTTATATACGAAATTACTTGCAGGCATTTGCACTGAAGTTATTGTGAACTTTTGTATGACTGTATATATTAGGCTTTAAGCAATTATTTTATTTTTTAAATAATTCATTCAATCAATTAATTTAAATTATCATTCAATTAACTTCAATTATCATTCAATTAATTTCATTATTGATTACTAACATAGATTTAATAAATTTATTTCTTTGAAAACATTCCAATGTAATCTATTGTTATATTTCTTGATATTTTGTTGATATTTCCTATGATTACAAATGCTGCTGTTTATGTATAACTCGTAACTTGCATTTAAATACATTGTTTTGCAATACTAAAACGGTCCTTACATCTTTAATGACAAATTGTAATTTAATTATTTTATTTTGATTATACTATTTGATAATCATTTTAAAAACAAGATCTCATATATGTTAATCAAAGTTACACCCTTTTTATATTGAAATTTTGTTATGTTTTGGTAACAGTAATCTAACTATATCTAAAATGTAAATACATTATTATTGTTTTCAATATTTTTTTTCTTTTTAATACAACTTATGTTGCCGAAAATAAATGAAGTAATAGGCAAATAATTTATAATGCACATATTTTGTGTTATATGGATTGTTGCACTCTATTTGCTGTTGATTTTGTTTTTTTTATTTGTTATTGTAAGTTAGATATAAAATAGTAACAGTGTAGAACTAAAATGTGTTATTAGAACATTATCTGATAGTTGATATTTTAAACAATAAAACAGTGTCTATTACTACAATAAGATCTCAAGTAAAATAAGTTGTTATATAGGAACACTTAAATAATACTTGTTTTTCTTATTATCACATAGTAAATTGATGGTGTGAATAATACTGCGTTTTTCTGTGGGCCTATATACATTTTCTATGTGAGCAAATGGCATAAGCAACAGACAAGATGAAATTTCAAAACAAAAAAAATGTAATACAAAATGTAAGAATGTATTTGTACCAAAAGAATAAATTTTCGACCATTATTAAGCGTAAGCTATATAAAACTTGTTGTGATTTATTTTCCTTTGATGGTACTTAAATGTTTTTGCTTTGGTTTTTCAACTTACAAAAACACAGAAGTCTATGTTTTTTAAAAGGAAGAAAATTAAGTAAGTTTTATGTTAAAGTTAAAAAAAGGATAGGTCCAAGCTTTACTTAAAAATACTGTAACTTACAAACTTGACTTGCAAATTTTTGCCAAAATTTTGCCCTCACTTTTAATGATAAAATTAGAATAATTTATTGCAATAGTTAATAAAAAGGTATTTCATATACTGGCTATACTTGTACAATTTAGAGAATCGAGGTAACATTTTAGAAAATAGCATCTTTTTGTGTATAATATATAAAATATTATTCGAAAGTTGCTCAGTTATAATAACATGTCAGCCGAAGGGCTTTCTGTGATCAAATGTACTATTATAATATAGTCAATAAAGCTTGGGCACAATTTTTGTACTTTTCATCAAGTAAAAGATACTCATTTCATAGGTTTTATATATGTAAGTTATTTTAGTTTTCATGTATAAATTATGTTAGAAGTTAACTATCTTTTTAAATAAATAAGTTTTGTTCTTTAATATCTAAATTTGCATTTATCCTATCTGAAGTTCCTAAAGTGTCTTAAAGTACGCACAAAAACTTAAAATGTGCTCTAGTAATGCGTAATTTTTGGCAAACTTGTACTACACAAATATTATAATAGTAATTTAATAATCAAACTGGCAGACAAATCGCAAATATTGCCTACAGAAACTGATATATAGTAGTATAGATTGGCAATGGAGTGATTAGAGCGAGACCAAAATTAAAATCCACCAGTGTGCGTGTAATGTGCATGCATATGCACATTGCACGACTGACAAGATGACAAATAATGCTGTCGATAATTATATATGATAAGGCAGACAATGCCTCAACTATAATTTGATATCGATACCGATTTCAATATAGCCGTATTTTCTGATTTGACGCAGATGTAAGTGAATATTTTTATCCAACTGCGGCGAAGCCTGTATGTATGTTCATCTGTTCCCTTGGATCTCCGAAACTAGTCATCGTATATTGACAAATCGGATATCTTTAAAAGCATCTTTGATTTGCTTATTTTTGATGATATAGGTATAGGGTATGGGGGTATCTGGATGGTCATTAAAATCAGCAATATACCGGGTGTTTGTAAAACGCTCCAGAAAACGAAGACAGACGATAATATTAAGTATACCTTTGATGATGGATAAGAAATAAAACCGATCCTGAGGAAAAAAATCATCTTTTTGCAATGTTTTATTAGCTATATTCACGCCTTATCATGTTGGTACAGCTAAATAAAACTATAATTTCGTTAAAAAATCATGAAAATAATTAAACATTAAACCAGCAGTGAAATTTAAAATAAATAAATAATAAAATCAGTTGACAATAGGTCAATATTCTCGGGGACGCCGAACTCATATGTATCTAGCTCCACAGAGTAAAGAAGACCAGAGGGAAAGCTTCCTAACAACGTCGAAAATCTATACCTATTCTGATAGGGTTATCACCTGATTCATGTGAAAATTTTAAGGAAAAAATATTATATAGTATAAAACAACATGTGTATTCATTGTAACTTCAGTTAATATAATAAATGTCTGTTATTTGTAATTAAAATTGAAACTGCATATTTTGCTTATTTTTATGCTTAGCTTCAGATTACATATACATATCTATATTTCTATCAATATCATTTTCGTAAGGCAACGTATTCAGATGGTATTAGTAATGATTGTGATGATGGTAGTGGGCAATGGCGGTGTTGATACACCACCACCACCAATGCTACTGCCAGGATGATGGTGGCGGTAGTAAGGGCTGTGGTGGTAATGCTGGTCGTGGTGGTGGTGCAAGTGGCGATCCAGTGTCCACCACCACCGCAATCACTGACACTCAGCACGTACAGCACTACCATCCACCGCTACCAACACCGTACGATCAGCACCACCGTCCACCATCACCATCACCAGCACTACTACCACTAACACTAACTGCACCACTGTCTGGCTATTGTATTATTTTCTCTAGAATTTTTCATACATACTGTACAACTTAGGCATTTAGCTTATACGAACACTAATTATCTAATATAAATATATACTAAGAAATCTATAATGTCTTATTTTATAGTACACAATCCCTAAACTTAACTCTAATTGTAAAAAAAATTATAGATGTATTGATCTATAAAATCACGAAATAATATTCGTTTATTTATTTCAATGCGCGTGACCAACAGCCCTTTCATTCACACTGACTGAGCCGGCGCAAACCGGTTTGTACCCTGACGGAGCGTCGGTGAACCTGTCGGTGAGAGCTCACGCACACATCGCTGCGCTATGTGTGGGTGTACCCGCCGCGAGACGTTTGTATGTAGCTTCCTCTCTGGTCGGTTATGGCCAAGTTAGAACCTTTTTTCAAGATATCTAAATACTTATCTTAAAATTTTATTAGGTTACTTATGAATGACTCCAAGACCAATTTGTCAAATTCCCCAATATAAGGACAAAACTTCGCAGAGTCCCAACAAATTCCCCTCAATTTTATTTTAAGAAATGAAATAAATTTTCAACTAATTTTATAAGATTTACTATAGATCTATCTTCCAAATCGCAAGAAAAATCAGGTCTTCCATACATTTTGAACAAGTTTGTACGAAATTTTGTATGGAATAACTGACTTTGAGATATTTTTTATAAGATCAGGGTGACAAACGAGCACTCAGTCCACCTGATGGTAAGTGGTTGCTGTGGCCCATAGACATATACATCAATCCTCGTTTAAGAATCAAAATGCAGATGCGTTGCAACCCCTGAGGACTAAGATGGAATGCCTCGTTTCTAGTAAAAAGGGTCTCCGGTTCTCTACACTCACCATAGGAAACACAGCAGCGTGGTCCTTCCCCGGTCGAGCTGACCCATTCGTGATACAACTATATCAGTAATATAGCTGCAGTATGGGCCTATCACGTATAAATTGAAAATTTCGAAGATGATGGGATCATCTTCGAAATTTTCAATTTATAATATAATAAAATATATTCATGTTGACGGGCAGAATCATTCCCTAAGTTATTAAGTACTATTTTGTTACACCTTTATTATTAAGTACTATTTTATTGCCGTGTAGTGGCGGTCAAGAATATCCACTACCCCATATCCTCCCGTGGGTGTCGTAAAAGGCGACAAAGGGAAACAGGCAGGAGATGGGCAGCAGCATCTTCTTGATAACAACAAACTAACAATAAAAAAAAACTGCGGTTGCCAACCCGCTCGCCAAGCGTGGCAACTATGGCAAATACCCCCCTATGAATGACAGTAACAAAGAAACGGCCCTCAGTCCCCGGCGGCCCCGCTATTCCTGGCTACGGTGGCGACCACGGTAACAGCGGGGCAGGGGGTGCTAAGAATCCCCGGTGGAGGTTCGTTTGCCACCTTAGACGACTCGACCTGGCAACGTACAACGCACGCACCCTGATGACTGACGAGAAGATCGTGGAGCTGGAAGAGGAGATAGACAAGTTGCGCTGGCATATTATAGGATTATCCGAAGTCCGAAGAGAGGGGGAGGACACGGTAATCCTCGAATCCGGCAACTTGCTCTATCACCGGGAGGGCGACCATCTGTCCCAAGGAGGTGTCGGATTTATCGTCCACAAGTCTCGTTAACAATGTTGTAAAGATCGGGAGTGTGTCGACGAGGGTTGCGTACCTTATACTCAGAATCACCAAACGGTATTCGCTGAAGGTCATACAGGTTTACGCACTAACCTCGGCACACCCCGATGAGGAGGTGGAGGAAATGTATGAAGATATCTCTAGAGCCATGCATTCCTCCAAAACCCAATATACGGTGTTAATGGGAGACTTCAATGCAAAACTAGGCACGAGAGAACGGTGAGCTGAAAGTAGGGAAATTCGGAATAGGGCAACGGAACCCAAGAGGCCAGCAGCTGGCCGACTTCATGGAGAAAGAGGGACTCTTTATGATGAACTCTTTCTTCCAGAAGCGGCCTCACAGGAAGTGGACCTGGTCGAGCCCCGACGGTTCGACAAAAAATGAGATTGACTTCATTATGACGACCAGACGACAACTGTTCAGTGATGTCTCCGTGATCGCGAGGGTGAAAACTGGTAGCGAGCACCGAATGGTTAGAGGCACACTGAACCTAAACGTTAAGTTGGAGAGGTCTCGTATAATGAAGTCAATGCTCCGTCCCCCTCGTGCTTTGTTCCAAAGTCCCGAAACCTTTCAGCTCGAGTTACAAAACCGTTTTCAGTGCCTAGAAGACTGCAATGAAGTGGACGATATGAATGACAAGCTCGTGGAAACTGTCCATGCGGTCGAAGCTAAGTTCTACAAGACCCGCCGCAGAAGAACACAAAAACTCTCCGATCACACTCTTAATCTCATGGCTGTTAGACGGGAGATGAAACTACATTCTTCAACAGACTTGGCAGCGTACAGGCATCTGAACAGACAGATCTCCAAATGCATGCGGCGGGACTTACGCAACTTCAATACAGCTCGTATTGAAGAAGCGATCGAGCGGAACCAAGGCTCCAAAGTCTTTGCCAGAGATCTGTCTGCCAGAAAGAGCCAACTGTCAAAGCTGAAGACAGAATGTGGCAGCATCGTTTTCGGGACACCTGAGATTTTGAGTGAGATTGAGAGGGGTTCTAAGGGCAGCTTTACACATCATCGTTGGAGCCACACGCAAGTGTGAGTAACGATCCAAGAGCGAGTCTCATCCGACACTATCCGAAGATATCCCGGACGTCAATCTGAGCGAGATTAGAATGGCTCTCCAGCATCTTAAAAACGGTAAGGCCCCAGGCGAGGATGGAATTACAGCGGAGCTTCTGAAAGCGGGTGGAAAACCGGTACTTGAAGTCCTTCAGAAGCTCTTTAAGTCCGTCCTCCATGGTGGCATTACACCGGAGGCGTGGAGCAGAAGTGCGGTGGTCTTGTTCTTCAAGAAAGGTGACAACGCTCTCTTGAAGAACTACAGACCGATTTCCCTTCTGAGCCGCGTCTACGTGCTGTTTTCGAGAGTCATTACGAATCGTCTCGCGCGCAGACTTGACGACTTCCAGCCTCCCGAACAAGCCGGTTTCCGAAAGGGCTTTGGCACCATAGACCACATACATACCCTTCGGCAAATTGTACAGAAGTCCGAAGAGTACAATTTGCCACTATGTCTGGCGTATGTGGACTATGAGAAAGCCTTTGATTCCGTCGAAATTTGGGCGGTGCTGCAGTCCCTTCAGCGGTGCCAAGTTGACTGTCGGTATATAGAAGTGTTGAAGTGCGTGTACAGTAGGGCTACGATGGCTATCCGAGTAGATGTGGGCGCCGCCTTAAAATTTGTCGGCGGCGGCGTGCTGTCAAATTTCAGTCGGCGGCGGCGTGGCTACTTTCCCTGTATTTTTTTTATAAAACACGCAATCTACTCCTCTTCACCTAGTTGGATTAAATCTCAACACGCTGCTTATTATAGAGAATACCCTCTCACTTGGAGTGCTTGTGGCAGGCACACAGAGTAGAGCTTTAGCAAGAGCAGCAATATAAGTAAATACTTTTTTTTACTGTTCCAATAAGTTAATAAATCACCATCTTTTGGTTCTGTAGGATCAGCACCAGCAATGTAACGCCAACATTCTTGCTCTATTGGATTACCTTGAATCCCTTGGCATGTACTAACACTATGTTTCCTCGACAATTTATGCAAGAATGATGTGTCGGTTACATTGCTGGTGCTTGTATTGCCTGCATTTTCGCCTAAAGCTTCTGGCTCGTTATTAATATTTATAACTTCTCTGATGTACGAGGAAAGGAAGGACGTTCTGGCCATATTCGGGTTTTCTAGAAAAAAATCAATTACTGTCATACTCATAAAGCGGTTATCCAACAGTGCTGCTGCGACAATGGGCTTTGTTACTGGGAATCTTTTACTCATTTTTTTCATCATGTTGCTTTTTAAGCGTAACATTATTAGTGCATCATCATCTTGATTGAGCTTTAATACGTCCATAATCTCAGAACGGAACACCAGAGCAACATTCATTGTGCATGTTTTCTGAGACGACAAGATTTCGACGGCTTCGCGAAAGCTTCTCAAAAACTTTACTAAATCTTCTAAAATAATCCACTCACTTTGAGTTATTCTAAGTTCTTCTTCGCCAATCTTCCTCAACATATTATTTATTGGTCCTCGGTTGCATATGTGGATTCCACTTTCTAGCATTTCTAAAATGTTGTGCCAACGAGTTGGGGTTGCGGTTTTGATTGTTTGAATAAGTTTGTAATTTTCGGGTCCTGATCCTGATGGTAAAGCCCTGTCTACAATTTCGGTTTCTTCGGCATTTTCCAGTATTAGATCAACTTCAGGAACAGGGTCGCTCTCGTCACTTTCTAAGGTTTCAACAACGCCTTCTATTTTCTCCAAAAACTAGTTGTTGCTGTACCTTTTCGGCTTCAGCTTGCAACTCTGGGGCGCGATATCTCACAGCCTTGACGACTTTTTGTATTTCTGAACTAGTAGTGCAATTTCTGGAACCGAGTTTATGCCGTCGACTGTCACCAGATTGTGAAGCCTATGACTTAGACATTGATGGTGAGTCAAATTGGCGATCCCAACTGCTCGTTTCACATTACTTCCAGCATCAGTGACTGCAACAATCGCTTTGCCGTCCAATATAAACCTCTTCTTTATGTCCTCAATAACATCGTTAATTTTAGTTAAGTTAAATCGAAAAATAACTAAAACAAACGAATGTCTTCACGCCACTCAAGCCGCGCGGGGAATCAAGCGCACGCCGTGTCACACCGCACGGCGGCGGCGGCGGCGTGCGGTGGTGACACGGCGGCGGCGCGCCAGCGCGGCGCCCACATCTATATCCGAGTACAGAACCAGAGTACGAAACCTATCCAATTGCAGAGAGGTGTAAGACAGGGTGACGTCATATCCCCGAAACTCTTCACCGCTGCATTGGAAGACGTTTTCAAGCTTCTGGACTGGAAAGGATACGGTATCAACATCAATGGTGAGTACATCACTCACCTTCGATTTGCCGACGATATAGTCCTTATGGCAGAATCGCTGGAGGACCTAAGCACTATGCTCAATGACCTCAATAGTGTCTCCCAACGGATAGGTCTTAAGATGAACATGGACAAAACAAAGATCATGTTTAATGTCCATGTCACACCTATGCCGGTAGTTGTTGAGAACACTAAGCTCGAAGTTGTTGACGAGTATGTTTACTTGGGACAAATAGTCCGACTAGGTAAGTCCATCTTCACCGAGAAGTCAATCGACGGATTCAACTCGGCTGGGCAGCGTTCGGGAAGCTACGACACATCTTCTCGTCAGACATACCTCAAAACCTTAAAACGAAATTGTACAACCAGTGCGTGTTGCCAGTGATGACTTACGGAACTGAGACGTGGTCCTTCACTGCTGGCTGTATGAGAAAGCTCAAGGTCGCTGAGCGGGCTATGGAGAGGGCTATGCTCGGAGTTTCTCTGCGTGATAAACTGAGGAATGAGGATATCCGCAGTAGAACCAGAGTAACCGACATAGCCCAACGGATTAGTAAGCTGAAGTGGCAGTGGGCCGGCCATATAGCTCGAAGAACCGACAACCGATGGGGAAGAAAGGTTCTCGAGTGGCGGCCTCGTACCGGTAGGCGAAGTGTAGGGCGTCCCCCCACGAGATGTAGTGACGACCTGGTAAGACATGCAGGAAGTCGATGGATGCAGGTGGCTCAGGACCGTGCTTTGTGGCATTCTTTGGGGGAGGCCTATGTTCAGCAGTGGACTTGTGAAGGGCTGTAATGATGATGATTGTTACACCTTTAGTTAGTACATAAGACCGGGGAAAAGTTTCTTCGTATATTGTATACAAATTCAAGACGGTTTTGTTTTAAAGTTTTATTACATTTAATTATAATATATATGGGTCCATTCTGTTCGATAATTTGTTACCATCTTGTAGGTAGTGACATAATAAAAAATTAACGTTGCTGTAGAAATCTTGGGATTTTGATTTAAAAAATGCGACAAGTAGTTTTATTTGATATATTCAATACCAGATATTTGAAGGAATATGGATTTAGTCATCCCAATTATAATGGAAAATAAAATAAACTTAAATATTAAAACCTCCAGAAAGCTTTCTTTTAAAGAACACAAGCAAGAAAAGAAAATAATGACTATATCAATACAGAAAAAAAATCACGTTTTTTGTTTTTTTGATTTTTTTTTGGGGTCCTTTAATATTTTACTTTTCTTTTTTATTTTATGTTGTTATAGCAGCAATATAAATACACATTCTGTGTAAATTCTACATATTACGGTTCACAAGATATAGCCTACCGACTGACGGAACGATAGTGGAGACTTGGGTCCCGTTGATACTCTTTGGGTATGGAACACTAATAAACGGCAATTATGTCATTTGAGCAATACTACAGAAATAAACATTAAATAATATAGAGTTAGGTTATATTATAATAAGTTAAATATATTATAAAATATAGTAACAATAAATTCACATATAAAAATCTCAGCCACGGGGAACTTTATTTTTGCATTCGCGGCAACACTGAATAGCGTCATTGACACAGAACACTAATACCCTTAGGCGGGGTCATTGATATTTTGTGACTTATTTATGGCTCGTGTTATTTTATGTTAAAATTTCGAAATTGTATGATACTTAATGATAGTATGTGATTCTAGTGTCTTTCTTATTTCTTATAGTATTATTTTTACACAGTTTAAATAAGTAAACTGGTATTTTACTTCGGATTATGATTAAAATTTAATAAAACATTCGGTACGTTCACCTCACACGTTGCCTGCAACCAGGCCCGTGACAGCTTAGTTCCATTCTATGCAACTTGGCGCTACCGTCGCAATTTGTTCTCTGGCTACGGACGCCATTTTAAAACGCCATATTGTGTTAATGTCAAATCAAATTGACAAAATTCAAAATTATCGATATTGATTCTGAGTTTAGCGCAAATGTCGCACCCTTAGAATTATAGAGACTCAACAAGGAAACGCAAATTTTTGGTAAGCGTGGCATAAAGATTCACAAGTCTATCAATCTTGTAGAAAACAAAAGATATTCGACTGAATTTTGAAAATATTATGAAATTGTTATTTTTATATCAAACTTTAGTTATTTACCTAGATCATTTTAAATAAATTAATGAAATTAAATAAATAAAACTATAATATTTAAAACATTTTTAAATCATGGTGCATTTTAGGTTTTTATTTTAATGAAATTGGGTTTTTTAAAAAGACCTTTTATGTTTTAGGTCTCTATATTTCTGAGTTTTGACTGTAAGATGCGTTACATTCACAAATGAGACACTATAATAGTTAAATTACTTAAGGTAATTTTATATTCGATACATAAAAAACAACATAAGAAATAAAATGTTTTATTAAAAATTAAACTTACAAAGAGTTTTAGCTTAAAAATCTACTTTTATTATTATTATCAATCATCACAACCATGGTAAATATTTACCAATAAACTTTGCATAACAAAACTTAAATCTTTGATATAAATTGCCTAATAATTAGGTATAGCTTATCACAAACATTAAGGAACTTGTTTGGAACTTAATACTTAAAACTTTAATAATAACAAAAATTACAGTATAGAGTAAAAAAAATCTGCGTAATAACTAGGAATTAGGTTTTTATTAATGAGATCGCGCAAGTCTTTTTTCTTACGTTCACCTAACTCTAGTCTTTTTGAAAATGCTTTGATCACAGTTATTTCTTCTGGACCCATCATTTTCTTACGTTTGTTCCTTATGTTAACCTTTTTGAACTCACTTTGACTGTACGAAGTTTTATAAGAGAAGATAAATGGTTCGGCTTTATTAAACTGCAAAACTTTTACGTCGTTCAAAATAACATTGTTTTTATGATCATCTTCATTGAAATTATATCCCCATAGTTCTTGAAGTGCCTTTAAATTAGTGAAAAACTCGTATGTTAACTCTTTAACGGTAAAAGGTTTCCCATTCTTACGTGCATTTTTAATCAGAGTTACATATTGATATGGTGTATAAATTGGTCCACTTTTTTTCTTTTTTTTAACTTTTTTCTCAATCAAGCTATGAACATTATCTCCTTCGTTTTGTGTATGTCCCTTGATGAGGTATTTGTGAGTGATGGTTTCTATGTTTTCAAAATGAGTAACTGCATAAGAATATAACGTTATTATAAACTTATTTTTATTCTGTCCACAACAATTATCCGAATAAAAAGTGATATGAAGATTTTTATTCGGATTTTGTTCATTTAAGTTGTTCAGATAGTCTAACCTAATCAGATTAGGATCAGATCCTATTTCATTAGCTCCCCTGTTTCCTTGCACTTCATCCCAAAAGTAGCTGTACACGCCACTGTAAGCACCTATGTCATTGTCATTGTCTTCTTCATTTCTTTTACGTTTTTTAGGTATTTCTGATTTCTTAGCCATTAATTCTACTATAGTGGAATTTAGACAATTGATTTTTGATTTGTAAAAAAAACGAAAAAATGTCTCCGGTAGGGCACTGCATGACGGCTTGTAAATCATAAACAGAGCAAATAAATGTATCATTGATGTTTTGGCGGTCTAGGCGTTTTTCTTGGCGACACAAATCTTTTTCTTTAAGGTGCTCATCGTATTTATCTTTTATTTTTGTTTTCCGATCCACTGTTGTAACTTCATAATCTAGACATAAATCACATCTGTCTTTTTTCGGTTGAAAAAAGCTAATATTAAATTGTTTTGTAAAAATTTCATAGTAGACAAAGATGTCAGTTAAGGTTCTATCCCCACTGATGTATTCTCTGGTAGTTGCTGCTCTCAATTAATGAGACTCTATTCTTGGAATTGAGTTTATGTGTTGTTTAATATTCTCAATGAGTGCTGGATCTATAGGCTGTCTTGACACGTGCTTACCTCTTATATCGGTATTTAAGAATCGTTGTGGGTCAGTCTTCTTTTTTACTGTTCTGATCTGACGATCGCATATTCCCAGAGTATTAATGAAGAAAGTCTTACATACCCCAATTCGGGTGTTATTTATTGTGAAATAAAATGCATTAGTCGGTAGTAAACCGTTAGGTTCATTCATTCTTAAACAGCCACTACAAGAATTAATTTATAATTTAGCTTCATATAATGAATTTCATTTATGATTTAACCAAAATATAACATAACACCGACGCCTGACACCCAGAGAGGTAGGCAGAGACTCCGGACTTCATTTAACACAACCCTGACACAATTATCTCGCCTTATATACTATTCTATTCTATTCTTTGTATTTTTGCGTGTAACTTGACCCGTCAAGTTGGATGTGGAAGGCCCATCTATGGATAAATGAGTATTTGATGTATTTTTGTCAAAATTGGTGTGAGCATCAGAAGACGACGACGATGATGATGAAGATCTACTTGAAGAAGAAATAGTACTGTCAGATGATGTTGACGAATCACGATATGACTTTTTTGACGGTGGGTATTCTTTTTCATTAGTAGGTACATGTGATTATTCACAATTGTTCAACTCTGGTTCTAAAACTATAGTAAATTCCTGGATTTGAATTTTCGTTTGTAGCTGGAAATAATATTATTTCATTTAAATAGAAGAAGAAATAAACAACCTAATATTTAAATTGTCAATTGAAAACCCACCTTGTTGGTGTCAGCTACACAAAGCACCTTTGGGTCAAAGTATGGAATGGATCGGTGTGGAGAGTTTTCTATTATGGAAGGGCTATCTGTTAACGATTTATTATTTGTTTCGGGGATGACCTGAAAGTAAATTTTTAACAAATAAAAATTGGATTAAATTATGTCAATATAAAAGTCAAAGTACACACAATATCTACTTTGAGGAAACTGTTTGGTAACTACCTAATACTAGCAGCTGTTCTTTACGATTTTACCCACGTAAGTTCAAACTTTTTCTATACCGCGATTAGTTTTAAGTTCTGATGTTAATACAATAAAATAATATCTATTGACACTATTGATGTGTGTATTTACCTCTGCAACAATTTGGTCCATCTGGTTAAATGATAATTTATCTGGATACTCCTCACAAGATGAATTAAATGGCAGAATATAATTTTCTTTGTTTGTGTCAGTCTGAAAATATATTTGAATTTTTGATATCCATCAATTTAACACCAATCTGTTTCAAATATTTTACCAAGGTACATATTACCATACGAACACAGTTATCTTGGTAATTTTCTGATGTTTCCGTATTATTATTAGCATGTGCCTAGAAATAAGGGTATTAAGAAGGTTATTGCATAAAATAATTACTGTTTTGGTAAAAACAAGAATAATAATACGAACAAAAGCATCTTTACCTGGTTTTTACTGTTGAAATTGACTTTTTCTAAAATATAATCTACTCTTCTCTTCATGTTTTGACTTGTTTCACCTAAAATGTTAAAAAAAATATGAACTACAATAATTGTCACATTCAATAGAAGGAACAAAACAATTTCATTACCAGATAGACATTTCGATAAATACGACTTTTAAAAACTATAACTATTATTACAAGAAAGCCGTAATCACGAATAAGTTTTTATAATGCACAGTATTTTATAATTATAACGACCAAAGGATGATTGAGTCTTTAATTGTAATATATTTTCAGTTAAAGATGGACTTAAACAATAATAAGTCTTGTACACAATTAACATTTTTGCTACAACATGGACTTATTACAAAATGGGTCTTTACTTTATCAAAAAAGTAACGTGTACATACCTTATTTTTCAGTAATGTAAAGACTGAATCCGGATTAGGTCTCCACAAAAACAAACACTTTGCGACTTTCACTTATGACGCGTGGCACATTACTGATTGCGTCACTCTAAACCCGAGAGGGCGCGGGGAACAGGGGCCGAGCGATAAAGACCTAAATTGTGTTTGTCCTTTTCTACTTATAAATTGGTCACTGTTTTAATTAAAGTCGATGCAGATGATCATTTTAGGTCGTTCTGTGGCGGAAAGTCAAAATATCAAAATTTCGTATTGGGTCTGTATAATTCTAAGGGTGCGATGTATTTCCTCGCATTTATGTTGCATTGACATCTTGGACGCAAAGTTTCCTCCGTTATTTCTGAAAATAACAATACTCCGTTTTTGTGCTGGTCGTGTGCATATTGTATACTATGATACTATCTTAACGGAATACGAAAAGTGCTATGTTGGTGCAGATTCCCTAAAAACGATAATTTAAGAAACTTGTGGATGTATTTCATAGTATTCACAAATTCCTAGATCATTGAACTTCCCAAAGAACGTTTCTTGACTAGGCAGAAAACTTCGATAGGTACTCTTATCCATGCTTGCTTTCATGGCGTGCCTCTGACTGCAACAGGCGAGTAATTTTATTACTTATCATGGTACTTAAGTTTCGGCTGCTGAAAGTTGTGATTTCTAAATAGGTATCAAGTGGACTCCAGTAATGAAGTATTGAACCATACATTTTGAATAAAAAACATTGCATCACTTTGTGATTATTTCACCAAACATTTTTAATTATAACTACATAGTATAAAGTGGCAGTCACTTAATAAAATTGTGTCTGTAACTATGGAAAGACAAAAAATTATATAGATATTTGCTATGAAAATGTATCGTTATAAAAATATCACTAGAACAAAGCTTGCAAAAAAGCAACAATTTATTACAAATTTTCAAAGATGCCGCTTGAATATGGTTTAATTTTTAGTTTTGTTTTAATAAATAATGATGTAATTGACATCTTCTGATCACAACACTTTTTACATTTATAAATTTTTTACAGTATATTTTATTTCACTTTCCTTATTTTAAGGTTATTGAAATATTCAAGATTTATTAAATCACTAATGTCCAAAATGCTTATATAGATCTGCTTTTCGGCTGGTACTGGATGGCAGGAGCTCGTACTATCTGGGAATCTCATTAAAGCATTCATACAAGCATCTTCAACTTGTGCAAGTTGTGACTTGTCGTCATAGTGCAGGAACATAGGGCCTTGTAATTGCAAGACTGAGTGAGCGAGACCATTTCAGAACCTTTTACTTGTAGTTATGGGTATTAAAGAATTAAAATTATAGTTTAGAGGGAGTGGTAACAGGATGGCTGTATAGTATTTATTTCTAAAACAAATGTTATTTGACTTCCCTTAATTTTATACATTATTCTATTTTTACTTAGTTGTTATAGCTAATGGGGTATATAAATTTATTTGTTAACTCTAATGATTTTAACAATTCTTCAATATCTACAAGTAAAATTCCTAATTTACTAAAGATTACAGAAGTTTCGATTTCATTCCATCTAGTGTAGATTGATTGGAAATTGTGTAAAAATAAATCAATCATTATTCCCTTCATACATGCTCTACGGTTTAGGGTACTCTTGACCTGGCCTTATAAAAACGAATTCTGAAATATTTAATGATTATTTAATAATTGACAATAAAATTATACAATTTCATCAGACAGCTTTACTTAGATAAAGCGTTTTCGGCACACTGTTTAAAATCAACAATAAAGTTCCATCTATGTTTCATGAAATGGAGGATATTTATAAATTTAAAAATAATTTAAAACATCTAACTAAGAAATGATAGGCATATAACAATGACATATATCTTTTTCAAAGATGTTACCTGTACTATTTTACTTGTATTCACAAGAATTGAATTTGAATTAATCTTGATAAAATTATTTCTTATAAATGTTACTTATTTTAACAAGTGATTCTATTTATTTCATTAAGGTAATCTTGTTCACTAGTGTGTATTGACGAATTTTTAAATTACCAATCATATTTTCATACTTTATAGCATCTTTATAATCGAAGTCACCAGTAATAATCTTAATAATATATCTTAGGGAGTTTAGAATGCCTTGTTTGACTCTAAATGAAGGTGATAACTGTTCAAATTGTTCAATACTGGAATTTGTTTCGAATTCAGTTTGAAATATTATAATAATTAATTGAATGTTTAGAGATTTTTTTGTCAAAATAATTCTAACATGCTTATTTAGGTATTTAAGTTCATGTATCTATTAATATTAAATTCTAACTGCTCATGCGAAACATTTAAATCTGAAACTTTAATTATAATCCACTTTTCATCACTTACACTGAGATGGCCATCTCTAAGTAACACACCAATATTAATATTATAAGGCCATAGGAATTGTTTTCTGCTACATGTAATTCTAAATTTGATGTTGTGGTTAAATCTAATTAAAATTATTTGCAAAACGAATGAATATCTAAAACCTTGTGAATTATTATGTATGGATTGTGAAGTTGGTTAACTATAATTTTTTTTTAAGTAGGTATTGAAACCACTAAGAATATTTTCTAATTCAGTTTCAATTTGATCTAGAATCACCAGAATCTTTCACTTAAAAAGAGATGCATCTTATCCTATAAGGTAATTGTTATATATAATATTATTTAGTTTGTATGTATAATCTTGTTGATGCCATAAAAATTTTTATAATATATTAAATAAACTTGAAATACTTTGATCGCCATCAAACATGCTGATCAAACTTTTTTAGATCCTTAGGTCTAATTTGAAGAAAGTGACATACTTTTTTCTCTTCTCTGTTCCATTTTTATTTAAAAATCAATACATGTATACAAAAATATTCTGTTAATTATTCTCTTTCTATAATTTTAGCACTTCTTAACCCTTTTGTTGTCCCGTGCACTACATATAGGGCACTGCTATTGTCTTACTATTGTGTCTGCCAACCGGACAGTGAAAATGTTAAGATTATAATTAAGTACATTATTTTTATTTAATCCATTTTATTTTTCTTTATAATAATATTTACCTAATAAATAACTGCCAAGTTTTGTGCAGAAATCAAATAACTTTCAACGATTTTAGTTCAAAAGTCACAACATAGAGCCATAAAGAAATAACCACAGGAAATAACTACAATGAGACAGGATAGTAAAACGCTTTATTTACAGTCCGCTCACTGCCACGTCTACCTGTAGATCTCCTCTTGTCTGAATAGGAAGGTTTCTTCAGCTCCTGATTTAACAAACTTATTTGGTTTGAGGATATCCGGAACTGTGGACAAGACCAATTTGAGTGTACTTGAACTCAGCTGTAAGCTGTGAGCTGGCTGCGCCAGTTAAGTTTTGGGAGTGGTGGTGAAGCTTTTTAAAAACTACAAATATATCTCAATGACATTTAATAACTATTACATTACAGTAATGTATTAAAATTAATTCAGTGCAATACTGACTTCCTTAACTACGTGATTACATTACTATGATGAGAACGAATCTTATTCTAAATGCAAGGGCTTTTAAAGGATGGTCAAAACAAGTCAAACACATCAAAAGTTCTAAATAATAAATTAATATTTTTATGTTTATCATTCAGTTACAAAATATGAATATAGTACTTAATTATTTTATTTATTTCATTACAGGTTACATTGATGAAGAAAATAGTATCAAAGAAGAGAAAATTGGTTAAAATTTTGACAAAGATTGCAACTAAAACTTTAGGTGACTCAGTTTCTCAGACTTGTTAAAGCCCAATGCCTGTCAAGAAATAAAGACCTATCGGAAATTTTGAAAAAAAAAAATGGTATAAATTACATTTTTTTTACTAATATCTTTGCTAATACTAGGTAAATCAGGTATAGAATTACAATTAATTACTATATCAAATTAATGTTTTGTACAGAAAAATCCTATACAGATGGAACTTAACTTTTCTAATTTAAATTGTACCTAGATCTGGGAGTTATTCAAAATGTGAAATGGTTTACAAATTTTAGAAACAAAATTGTATTTCTTTATGGAATATTCTAAGCCACTTATAATATACTATAAAATAATCTTCGACCTTAAAAAAATATTATGTAATAAATCACATAATTTACTTTTCTTTACACATTGATATCAAAATAATAAAGCTTAAATAATAAGGATATGAATATACAAGTAGCACTTCCTTTGTGTTAATAGTTTTCCATCTAAAAAATGAGTAATGGTAAAAGATTGAAATTAACATTTTTCCTGTTTTCTTATAGATAAAACACAAAAATTCAGTTCTCCTAAAACTGATCACTTGATTAAATTCTCGAGAATTTTTTAGAAACATAATTTATAATTGTGTTCTTATTTGTTTTACTCCACGGTTGGTTTGATAATGTTAAAATTCCCTATGTGAATACCACTGTGTACTTCAATTTATATCTTCTCAACCAATATTCTTTTTATTTATTTATTTATTTTATTAAGAAAACCAACAGCCTTACAAATTGTATATCTTATAACTATGTGTAATGTAGTATTGCCAATAACAGGTTTCCCTTAAATTAACAAATGGCACTGTAACAATCAAACTTTGTTAGTGCTAAAATTAACTCTA